GGCTTCCCGTCCGCTCAGCCGTACTTAAGCCACACGCCGGGAGGTTAGTAGTTGGGTGGGTGACCACCAGCGAATCCCTTCTGTTGTATGTTTTTATTTTTTGCAGGATTCACTGCCCTAATCTCTTACATACATGATTACCCAGGTATGAAGTCCGATAAATGGACAGCGTAATAAGATGGTGGCCAGGATCGGAGTAGGTCTCTTCGAGTAAGCTTCAGCTCCGACCAATCTAGGGCAACAAGACCGCTTCTCCCTTGGTCATCGTATGCAGAGCAGGTCTGGATGAAGTGTCATAATCTGTATAGCCTTGCAAGCTCAAGCCGAGCCCAGCTCTGTATGCTCCTGTTCGTGATTTTGTATAGTAGAATCTAGACCCAACTTTCGAAACATACACGAAGCACCCCTCGCTTTACAGAAAGGGGCACCGTTGGATAACGCTTCATTCACCACAGTATAAACAAATTCCTCTCAGCAAGCCCTCAGTACTACCAGACACACCAATCATGCTTTCCATATCCTAAACCCCCCGGGGACCAAGCGCGCCAAACCCAGGACGTTTCCGCCCCGGGCCTCGCTGTCCTTTTAAAACAGGGGTGCACACGGCTGCACGACGGCAAGAAGGCTAAAGTCCTTGAAGGAGCGCGGGACTTGGCGGCTTGGATCTCCTGATGCAGGATATTGACGGCTCGAGGAATGACTTCTGCTAGATTGAGAGAGACGGGATTCGAGATACATGCAAAGCCCGAACCAAGCCGTTTCTGTATCCGTTGACCCACGTTGCTAATCCCGCCTGCTTCGACTTATCAACCTAATCGGCGCGTCATACGAGACTCATTTGAGGCGTAGTTTGTGGCGTGATGCATACTCCCCAGTTCCTGCCCGCTGCAAAACAGGAGGGACGGCTTTACGGCAAACGAACAGGATACGCGGGTACATATGCACTACCGTGTGAATGAAGTATTGCTCTAACCTTGATCTCTCGCACTAGGGCATTCCGCATCTCTTCCACTTGGATGATCAAGTAGGCCACTACCCAGTCCTGTGGATCTGTGACCGCCATATCAGCAGTGCTAGTGTAGTTATCCGCGTAATGCATGACAGACCTAAGCCAGGGCATAGTTCAATCCTTTTATTCAGCGAGGTGAAGATACGGTTCCAGGAAGAGAGGCAATATTCTATAATCTATAAGGGGTATATTCTAAAGACATAATGTACATCGGCTTCCAAAAAGAGATGCGTGAGGCCGACCCAAGCGCCGAACCATGCCCCATACGCGACCAACCACCAGCCCAAAGCAATGCAACATCCACACCTCCATAAGTCAGCACTCACGCCTAACCAGCCATAACCTTCCCCGCAGACCACATCCTGATCCTGCGCCCCCAGTACCAGAAGCATACCGGCACCGGCACTAGCGCAACACAGACCGCCCCCAAGATAGTTGTCGCATACGCGACACCCAAACCGTGAAACATCTGGCTCGCGAACAGCGGGAACGAGGCACCGAAGATACTGCGCATTGAGCCGTTGATGCCCAGGGCGCTGTTCGCCATGGCTGTGTAGCAGTCCACAATGTAGCTGAAGCCCTGGATGAAGAGCAGGTACATGCCGCACCCGATCAACAGGTTCGCGCAGACGGAGCTCGCCCAGTAGATTGAGGGGTTGGCTGTCCAGGCGTACCAGAAGATGCCGATCGGGATCAGAAGTCCGCCGAGGATCATGGGCGGGAGGCGGGATTCGGGATCGAATAATCCATCGGCGTCGTGGCAGTGGTGGCGGAAGTAGAGGTGGTTGTAGAGGATCATGCCCACTGCGCCGAGGATGACGCCCACGATGATTCCGAGGAGAGGTAAGGTGTTGAGACCGGTTTGCCAGCCGCGGAGCTCGCCGAAGGAGTATGGATAGGATTGGTAGAAGAGGTAGAGGATGCCGTAGAGAAAGGATTGGTATAGTGTTAAGAGGAAGAGGATGGGTTGTGTCGAGATGAGCCCTGGGGAACAGGTTAGGAGGAGGTATGCTTGGAGACGCAGGGTGGGGTGGCACGTACAGAATGGACGCACGAGATAGAGCCTCGCGACCTGCGCGAGATCAAGACTATCCTTTTCAGAAGCTGGCTTGAGACTAGTGATGTCTCCCTTCTCCGGCTCGACTGCCGCTTTATCTCGAAGGACGATCGGGGGGTAGGTCTCGGGGAAGAGCACAACCGCGATGAGCGACAGACCTAGGCCGCAGATGATCGTCACCCACATCGTCCACCGCCAGTGTAGTGACGAGGCGACAATGAAGCCGCCAAACACGGGACCGAAGGTTGGCCCGGAGAACATCAGCGCCACTGCAATGGCCATCGCGGTTCCGCGCTGTTCCGTGGCGAAGCAGTCGCTGACCACGCCCCCCATCACCGCGACAGGCGAGATTCCGAACAACCCCGCGAAAAAGCGCCCAAGCAGGATGGTTGTGATGTTCGTGCCCAAGGCAGGCATCAATTCGAAGAGCGAGGAGATAGCGACTCCGATGATCAGCGGCCATTTGCGTCCAAACTTTTCCGAAAGCGGGCCGAATGTGATGAAGCCGAAGATATAGCCCTATTTCAGTGAGTATTCGGTGTATGTGGAATTGACACGGGGAGATATCGTACGACTAAGAATAGTGTGGTCATCAGTATGGCCACTTCTTGCTTGATATTGAACTCTTGCATAACCTCCTTCTGTCCCGGGCTCAAAATGCTGCTGGCTGCGGTACCCAAGATGTTCATAAGCCCAAGGATGATGATAGTTCGAATTTTCTTGGCCATCCTCCAATTTTGCGGATGTTCGGGTTCGACATAGTCAGATTTGACCAGGCCAGGGTCGATTGCTTCTGCATCACTGTCGGTGACGGCGATTGCCGTCAACGGTCCCATTGCGCTGCTCGGCAAGAGCGTATAGAAGCGCAGCACGATCACTGCACGTGATAATCTTGGATAGAATAGGAAATCAAAGTGGATCCGTACGAGAGATGCATATGCATAAAATGCATGGGTATGATTGGTAAGTTAATCAACAATAGACGCCAGTCCAAGTGCAAAATATCCAACGGTCTACAGCAGCTAACCGTATCCCATGAGTCAAGGTCCTGACACGGTATATAACCCAAGGAAGAGGCATTGCCCTACCCCAATCCTACACCTCAATTGACTTAAATTCTCGTGAGGGGAAGTCATCGTGAGGGGAAAGAAAAATTTTGCATGGGGGGAAGGAATCGGCAGATGAGGAGAAGGGAGGCTCTTCTTCAATCACCGTGGCCGTGACGAGGGCGGAGTGGGGCGTAAACGAGGGCTAGACCTGGAGTTGGGTCCGCGGACAACGTGGTCTGAGAATCAATTTCAATGTGCCCATTCCCATTGAGTTAAGGTTGTCGAGAACAAAACCCGGAACCCCAATCGGCAACCCGATCGAATCCCGAGGCAGAGCCATGCCAAGCATTGCGCGGACATCAATCGGCATTGGGTCGGAAGGCTCCGCGCCAATCGGTAGCCTCTTCCATGCCGTGAGTTTATTTCGCATAGAGGACCTGGTCCTTGCGGGTGCATCCGTCAATGGAAGTGTAGGGTCTTGGTCGATCTCGTGTAGTAGATCGACCGACTGTGGGGTCGGTCCCTGTCTTTCATGACTCAATGACATGCCGGACTGTCCCGGTGAACGATGTGTCGCTGGATAAATGAAAGGGGCGTTTCCTTGTTATGTCTTGTTTCGACGGTTCTTTGTTGAGTAGAAATGTTATCTAGGTATGGGATAACTTCAGAGGTATTCCAGATCGCGGCTTTTTCTCGCAATACCTTCCAACCTCGGCTTTCGACTGAAAATCTTCCAAGATTCACCCTATGCATGGCAGAAGGCGAAAGACCATGGTGGAGGATTTCGCAAGCAGGCAAGATCTTGACCAGGGCTTATAGTCTACATGGATATTTTCTTTCAATGCTGACGGCAAGAAAGAAGTGGCTAGGTTAGTATACCGATCGCGAAAATTTCCGCCATTTATACTCGAGCTGCACGGTTAATGATTAAACACCGAGGCAATTTTCAGCAGAAGCGCCCATGCGAGCAGAAAATAGGAGATATACTCCTATGTCCATAAGTCCAGAAATGAAAATTCTCACCTGAGATAAACCTTGACATTTTGCCTACATACATAAAGGAAAAGAACACCACGTCTGGTGCAACGTGATCCAAATCCGTCACCACCTCGGTGTAAGGCATCCAAATTAGCATCCGAGCATATGGGTCCCTCCGAACCTGAACCTGAGCCCTACGGCTTATGCAGCCTGGGGACAATCGAAGCCAGGATTGCTCAGATTCTCGAAACGGCCAACGTCCCCAGCATTCTCTGGGGCGATGCTGTGTTCGGCCTGTTCGGACAGGAGTTACCGATGACCTGTTCCGAGTGGGTGATTCCAGACGAGGGGTTCAATCTGGCCGTGGAAGCCCTCGTGAATAATGTCCACGTAGAACTATGCTGGCGAGCTCCAACGCCTGGCACCGAGGTCGCCGCCGATGGCCACCAGCTCCAATGCCCGTGGCAGCCGCCCGACGGGATGAACTGTCGCCCGCAGCCGGATGCCCATCTGATCGCCCTGGACGCCTACATCAACCTCTACCGACACTCGCGACTACTCTGGTGGGTCCCCACCCGTCTTGCGATGGGGGACAAGGCGCTTGACAATGCGAACCAGTTCTACATGTCCACGTCCGACGAGCGGCTCCCGGCGCCCGAGACCACGCGCCACCGGGGCGGCCCCGGCCGCGGCCCGATGGATCTAGCAGTGACGGGCTTTCCGGTGCGGATGCTGGCGCCGGACACCTACGCGGCGGCGCTCGTTTTCTTAGCTGTGCGTGACACCGGCCACGATGTGGAGCAGCACTGGCATGGCGAGATGAAGAAGATGGCCGCCGCCGTCGCGGGCTTTCCGCTCTTCCGGCCGGACTACCTGCCGCCCCGATTTATCGACGACTACTTCTTCCACCGCGAGCAGAGCTATGTCACGATGCGCTCCTTTATCTACTCTTGGCAGCGCACCCCTGACCAGATGCCTCGGCTGAGGGGTTTCAGATGACCGATTGCAGGAAACGCATGAAGACCATGGCGGACTGGTCGGAGCAGGAGGGTGCGTACATTTTTCCGTTCTATGCGGAGGATTATATAGATTGACTTTATGATAAACTCTCTTCTTGCGGGGTCTTTCTTTCCTCGTAACACTTTACCGTGTACTTCTGACTCTGTAGGCAAGGATCTGGGGTGGGAAGTACACGTCGTCTTCAGGCAGATTATTCATGCCTCAGGCATACTACTCAACCAGAACGCGTTTCATAGACTGAGTCCACAACAAGAACCCCATACCTAGTACCCGAATTGACATGATCTCTATTCTCTATAGTATAAAATCCCCCACAAGCGACAAGACCGCGACAAGCCCCAAAACACAGCCCCAGCCCTCAGCCCCATTTCTTACCACTTATCTTACACCCGTGACCAGCATACAACCGGAATACACACCTCGTCACCCTGATACACGGTCCATACCCAGAGCCTGCCAAAACCTGCATCTCATGTGGAGCCCACCGGAGACTTGCAGCTTCTATTGGGCTAGAAATGTCGGTGCCTACGCGCCACATTGGAACAGGGGGTTTAAAGCACCAATGATAACCTGCCACCCAGCCCTGTAAGGCTGAGGGGGTATGTCTGATGCCGATTTTGCTGGTTACTCACGTCATGTGCGGTTCGTTACGAGGTGTTTTACTTATTGATTAATATTCTGGGGCTTTGCGTGAGGTTTCGGGTGAGGTCTGGAGACTGGTAATAATAGGGGTGACGCCGTGGGTGTGGTTCCCAGATAGCCCGCGTACAGTGCAAAGTCCAACCCCTGGACAGCTTCTTCAACGTCACAACCAGCATAACAAACTCATACCAATATTCACCACACAACCCCATCGCAGACCTAAAAACCCCCTAGTAATGCCCCCCGCCATTCCAAACCCAATAACCCACTCAACGCACACAAAACGCAAGCGTAAGGATAGCATACCTGCCCACCAATCGTCAGCCGCAGCCCAGCCCAGCCCAGCCCTAACCTCTACCATCGCACAAGGAGGGGAAAACTCACAAAGCAACCAAAGCCAACCCATGCACAACCGAATACTTCCCCCCATGCAGCAGCCCATTAACCAAGAACACCGCAAAGAACAGCACCGCGGTCTCGAACTCATCAAACACCAACGTCATCGGCTTCCCCAGCACCCACCCGAGCACCACAAGCACCGGCATCGCGAACAACCCGACATGCACGACATGCTGTACAGACGCGCGGATCGCTGCGTCGACGTCCTCGCTCCGGGCGCAGGCGCGGGCCAGCGTCATCCCGCTTGCGGCCGTGCAGGCGAGTGGCACAAGCGTTGCGGCGAGGAAGGTCTTTGAGAGACCGGTTCTTGCGGCTGTTATTACTAGGGTATCGGCTAGGTATCTCGTGCAGGGGATTGTGGCGAGGGTGGAGAGGAACAGGGTGAGCAGGGCGGGGATTGGGCTGCTCGCGGCTGTGCAGTGGGCGTCTGCTTGCTCCCGGCGGAAGAGGTGGCGGTGCGTTCCCAGCTGAAAGTACAGGTAGCCGGCGTACACGCAGAGCAATATTATGGATGTGCCGCGCGAGAAGCTCACGGTCCGGTCGCCCAGCTCGTAGGGGAAGGTCACGTTTAGCACCGATGGGAGGATGAGCACTGTTGCGGTGACGAGCATGAGCGGCGAGAGGGCGCTCGTTAGCGGTTTGGGAAAGTAGAGGATGTTGGTTTTGCGCGAGGCGGCGATGAGGCTGGAGCCGAAGATCTGTGGGTTGCGGTTTTGAGGTGGTTAGTGGGTGATGAAGGGGCTCTGATTGGGGGTCATTCGTGAAGATGGACTTACTAGCAGGATGTCGCTGAGGATGCCCCCTATCACCATGCTCTGCGCTACGTAGATCTCGCGGCTTGCGACCGCCCAGGCTCCAAGCTGAACGCACGGGGAGTCAGCTCAGATGTGTCTGTGGCTCTTTGGATAATTGGCTTGCGGGAAGCACTCACGCTTAGTATCACTGCTTTTCGAGGCACGGTGTCGATCACTGCCCCTCCCAGATCACCCGCATGGTTGGACAACTGGTCGGAGGAGTCGGATATCAGGGCTGACAGCGCCACAATGGCGAAGAAATTGTAGACGAAGACGAGCACCGGGTTCCATTGCATATAGCCGGCTGTGATTGCCAGTGGGAGAAAGCATATTGGTAGGTAAGCTCCGGATCGAGCGGTCGTTGAGAATAGGCTGCGCGTTGTTTTCTGGTTGTGGTTTAGGGGGTGAGCTGCATCGGATTCAGAGCCAGACGCAGAATCATTCTTGAGCAATGGGTGCAACTGGTCCTCGATCTGGGACTGGAACCCCACTGTAGAGGCCATAACGATTGCTGCAGAGGCAGCCGATGGATGAGTTTGAAACAATTCCAGGAAGAGGAGAAGGAAAAACGAGAAGGGGATATAAGATAATGTCCGAGCAGGGCTGCTGCTTTTTTACATAAGTTACAGGTGCACAACAATGACGATTGACGATGACAATACAGACGGTCACGGAACGGTAATGCGGGCGGGCGGGTTACTATTTTTGCGTGGACAGACAGGGCTGAAATTAGCCGATAAGGCAGAGAGAGAGAAAGAGTGAGAGCCGCCTTTTCAACCTTCCGGATATCCGGCTATTGATCGACTCAGCTTGCAAACCACCTTTCAACAGTCACACGTATGGTTTACTACTGCACTCATTCTGTAAGGCTGCAACAAGTCATCTTCGACACGGTATCGACGATCATGTCAAAGGGCGACGAGAGTGAATGGGGGTGGTCACTTCATGCAACTCGTGCACGGAAGCTCCGATAATGCCCTCCATCCCCTCAATCTATCCATCAATCAAACTCACTGTTGTCAACAGTCCTACTAGCGTCTTGGCGGGGAGATAATGATGATCAGACGGGGGCATTCTTGTCCCACTCACTGCTGGGCTGCATCATCATCCCTCCCTCTTCACCTCTCTCTCCTTAAGGTTCCCTCCCTCTCGTTTGTGCAGCCATCGCTCACCACTCTCCCTCCCAAACCCCCGATCCACTCCAGCCATACCTGATCCAGTCGCCCCCTAAAGCTTGGACCCAGTCGCATTCCATCACCTTGACGTCCAGATCATTTCATCCTCTGATACCCGATTCCGCCCGTGCGAATCGAACCAAATCCGACAGCGCGACCGTCGGCATCTCCCGACATTCTCCAGCCCACGCGAACCAACCCCCACTCCCCACAATCCACCCACATAACAACCTCCCCTACCTCAGCAACAGATGGACGCGATTTCCTCCGCATCAATAGCGAGGGCGTTCAGGAATTTGGCAAAGCGCTACCGAGCCCAGGACCAGACCGAGACAGCGACCAAGGTGGAAGCGGCGGTGAGCCAGACGCTGCAGACGGAGCCCGGGCCGGACGACCCCAGTGCCGCACTGGTGCGGTTCGGAGCCCTGGTCCTGACCTTCCTGGAACAAGGCCAGTGGAGCGCCGCCGTAGATGTGGGCAAGCTGGTCGTAGACACCCGCCGAGCCCTGCTGGGCCCGGATAGCCCGGCCACCCTCACAGCCATGCATAACCTCGTGTCGGCGTACTGCGGACAAGGGCGGTGGAATGAGGCAATCGAGTTGGGCTGTCGGGTGGTCGAGGCCCGGCACGCAGTCCTGGGCGTGGAGAGCCCGCAGACCATGGCTTCGATGTCCAATCTGGCGTCGGCGTATCGCAATAAGGGCCAGTTGCGGCAGGCCGAAACGCTGGAAAAGCAGCTCCTCGATCTGAGAACTAAGGTCCTGGGCCCCGACCATCCGTCCACGATGACCTCCATCAGCAATCTGGCGACGACGTACACGTATATGGGGCGATATGATGATGCCGCGAGGCTCGAGCAGAGCGTGATCGAGCGCAGTGGGCGTGTGCTCGGCGCGCGCCATGGTTCCACGCTGACTTATAAGTCGAATCTGTCGGTCACCTTCCGGGAGCAGGGGCGGTTGGAAGACGCAGAGAAGCTCGAGTCGGAGGTCATGGAGGCCCGAGTCACGAGTCTGGGCGTTCAGCACCCCTTGAGCCTCACATCGATGGCGAATCTGGCCGCCATCTACCGCGATCTGGGTCGCTTCGACGATGCAGAGCATTTGGAGACGCAGGTCGTGGAGAAGAGTCAGGTTAGACTGGGCGATCACCCGCAGACGTTCATGTCCATGGTGAACCTCGCAACAACCTGGAGATTGCAGGGGCGGCTGGAGGAAGCCGCCAGTCTCGGCGCGCGAGCGGTAGCGGCAATGAAGCAGCAGCTGGGAGATCTCCACCCTCTGTGCCTGACTGCGATGGCGGAGCTCGGCTTGACATTCCAGAGTCAGGGCCGCACGAGGGAGGCGGAAGCACTGACCTCGCAGGCATTGCGGGGGATGCAAAAGACCTTGGGTGACAACCACCCCCATTGCCTGACGACCATGACGAATCTAGGAGTGATATATCAGTCGCAGGGGAGGTGGGAGGAAGCCGAGACGCTGGCCGAACGAGCTGCCCGGGGTCGCGAGAAAGTCCTGGGGAAGAACCATCCCCTCACGCTGGCTTCCATGCAGGATCTCGTCCGTGTATGCCAGGTGTTAGCCGCGGACAGGACAACAGGCACCCGAGTGAAACTTCATGGGTGACCAAAAAATGAAAGTATACGTCTTGTGGCTGACGCTGATTCCTGATGAGACATGATTCAACGCGGGGGGAACGGACTCAGTTACGGATTGGTCAAAGCATTGCGTTCAATGGAGATAATAAGCCAAGAACCCCTAAGAGCCCTGATATCCTGACACCTCAACAGAGAGCATTATTGAGCTGCAAGAGGTTGGTTGCAGAAGCAGAAGAAGAATCGCATTAAGGCGGAATGTGGCTGAGAGGGGGAAATGTTGGTACATGTTGGTAAATGTTGGGGTGCACTGCCTCCTTGCCAAGCCTCTGCAAACGCCCGCCATTTTGGGGATGCGGCACTAGTGATTGAGTCGGCGGGGTTTTTCTTTTCTTTTCTCCCCACCACTACAGAGTACTCGACAAGTTCTCTCTCTACTTAATGATCCAATACTAAATGTTATCCAAAGCGATGTGGTCCATCTCAGAATTAGATTATCAATTAGGCTAAGATAGAAGCGAACTCATCACTCTTCCTGCTGCGTAACAGCAGATGCCATCCGGTTTGCTCCACGAGGGCGCGAACCCCCGCACTACAATAGCATCCCAACAAGCAATCCCGCTTACAGGTTACCCTGGCCGGCGCTTGAGGCGGGGCCAGTGCTGGCAGCACTGGGAGTGGGGAGGGACTCGCCCTTGAAGACACCGAGAACGGTGGTGGAGCTGCCAGTAAGATCACCGCCGTTGGAGTTAGCGACGCAGGAGCGGCCGATGTAGGACGAGCAGGTGGAAGAGGCACTGTCAGAGGCGAAGAGAACACCCTTGAAGGAGCTGGACTCGAGGACAGTGGTGACATCGGCGAAGGTGTTACCCTCGGCGAGGACGTAGCCGCCAGAACCGATCTCGAAAGCGTGTCCAGAGTTGTCGTTCCAGTAGTTGTTGTAGATGTGGAGGTAGGTGTTGCTCTGGACCTTAGGAGCTCGGCCAGAAGTCTAAGGGAAGTCAGTATGGTTTTCCCACTAAGGTTAAGCCAACGCTTGGGTTAAGATTGCTCACCTTGTACAGATAGTTGCCGGCAAAGGTGACCTTGTCGCTGGAGCCATCGAGGTAGACGTTCCAGTAGTGGTGGTTGTCGCAGGTGGCGGAGTAGTCGGATTCACCGTCGATGTAGTTGTTAGTGATAGAGACGCGGTTGTCGGCATCGGTACCGAGGACGTAGTGCTGGCGACCAATACGAGCAGTCTATGAAATGTGGTCAGATGGGAGGATCGCCATGAGGTGGTGGGTGAGTTGGACGTACGGTAACGTGGTCAATCCAGACGAGATCAGCCTTGTCAAGGGTGATGGCATCACCACCCCAGACGTACTTAGGGTTGATGTCGGTAACGGCAATGTTCCTTGGATGGCAATCAGTCTCTCTTCATGCTCTAACCGTTCAGACTAGAACTTACTGGATGATGATGTTGGAGACACCGTTGACCATGCGGAGACCCTTGCCCTTGATGACACCCTTGGTACCCTCACCAATCAGGGACTTGTTGGAACCGACGGTGATACCGAGAGAGCCGGCGTTGTCGCTGCAATGGTCAGAAGGCGTCTGATCAGGAGTAGCGAGTATGACTTACTAGGTAACCGAGACGGAGGGAGCGCTCGACTCGTAGTTGTTACACCAGTCATCCTTGTTGATAGCGACCTGGCAGCCAGAGGCAGTACCCCAAGGAGCACAGCCAGTGGCAGTGGTGGTTCCCTCAGTGTCAGTGAAGTCGAAAGTCTTGCTAAGGACGATGACACGAGCCTCGTCATCACCGAGGTATGAGACCAGCTCATCGGTGGTGGAGGGGTAGACGGGGGTGGCAGAGCCACCACCAGTGGCCGAGGCAGCGAAACCCACGGGGCTGCCGGAGACGCCAACGGCGAGAGCCTGCTGGGCAAGAGCCGCAACGGCGGTGAGAACAGCAGCGTACTTCATCCTGGAAGTTTTGGAGGTGGAAAGAATGACTGGGTTGGATAAATTAAACAAAAGAAAGCAGGCAATGGAGAAAAAGAATGACAGAGAGGGTGTTGAGTTGTGAGCCAGAAAGGAAAGGATGTGACCTGAGCCGACGATGGAATACCTTATATAGCTTTGGATCTCCCCCCTCCCCCTCCCCATGAAGCCATCTTCATGATGAATCTTCTGTCTCGGAAACGCTTGGCAAACCGCCGGATTGAAAGGATGAAGTGGAGGAGAGACTGAGAGAGACCAGGCCCACGATGGGGTGGGTAGACTGATACTGGAAGAATTATTCCACAAGTGGGTCTGAGCCAAAAGGATAAACATTAAACAATTAACATTGAGTCCAAGGTTATGGTATGGGTCCAGAAGCCGGTAATGCCACTGCCGATCAGTCCGCACTGGATTGGGATCGGCCGCGTAAAGGCAGGAAGCCCTGAAACACACCCACCGAGGCACCGACAGCGGCCAGTCACCGTGTCCGACGGCTCGGAGATACGGCCAAGAGCAGTAGTGGAGCCGCCGATGCTTAATGTGATGATTCTGATCCCGTTTCGCATTGATGGCGGCTGCCGTGCGGGTTTCATAGCTTGAGCGCTATCTGACCGCGGACTGCTGGCCGCCACCCCAGCTTTTCCGTGCGAGGCGGTTGCATCATTGCATGACGTGGCCAGGATCCAGCAACTTGGAGACTAGGCTCGTTCTACAGATTTGGTGCGACGAGCACCGTCCGATGGGTGCGACCGGCTGTGTTGGGACTCAGATTAGGGCTGCCGCTGCGGGTTTGCGGTTGGATTGAAGATTGATAGAAGATCCTATCTACAGCGACTGAACGATCAATCATCAGTGACAAATGAAGAATGAAGATGAGTGCAGTCGTTGATCTTCATTAAGGTTAAAGTGTTCTTAACAGTTCTAAGCCTGATTTAGTAAAGACGGGAGGTGAAGGACTCCATTTTGCGTTCCTAGCCAAGTTTAGTGGCAGGCACTGGGGCCATCGACTATCCACCTTCTCCGCAATGGTTGGTTCTGAACTTCTTCTGGAGCTCTGATGTGTGGAGTCTCTCCTTCCCCTGGCCGATCATCCCATGGTAGGTATAGTGTGCAGTGTACGCTGTACACTCTGAGTCTCTGACTCGCCCTCCAGTCTCCTGGAGTTATCAACCAGATTGAATCATTATTGTCAGTGTATTATCATTGTCGTCGAATTGAACTCCCTCACGTTATTCATGATTGTTGCTGAGAAAGATCAGACTACAGATCCACTATGTTTCCTGGCCACAGAATTACCTCGGAGCAGTAAGCATGTTTTCCCAGCAATTGCAATCGTCGGCGCTGGCTCGGCGGAGCCCTAAGAGGGCAGCGGCATCGGTGCTCGGACTATCCCACCCTCCGCCCTTGTAAATGATATTAAGATCGAGTGATCATGCCAGATTCCTGACCTCCCGCTCCATTGTCCTTAATCTCTTGGCTTATGCTTGATTACTAGGACCCGTTGACCATCATCTAAATTCCTGTCGTCGTGCCCACCAGATTGGCCCTTATCCACCGCCACCGATCAATCTCATCAATAGCCGGGAAATTGCGGACAGACAGTGGTGAGTGGTTCCAGTCTGTGGCCACTAAACAACGGCACATAGATTAAGCTTCTTCTCTCGACCTTCTCCCTTCTACGGGTGAAATATCCGTCGACCGAACATGATTCATCCTTCATCATGTCTTACCATCCCCATCGGCGATATTGCGGCACGTCATCCATGGCTCCCCACGTGGGTATAGTACTAGGGGATAGGGGAGCAGATTGCGCGCGCTCCTCGTATCGATGCCCTGCGTTTACTTCTTGAGGGCAAAATCCCGCAAGTGGCCATCAATTAATATGCGAGCCTGATGGCCAAGATTGGCTTGCGTCACGGTCAACATACACCGCTTGTTGTTGCAATACGAAGTCAATATGAAATTCGCCTATTTGTGTATGCGACCTTTCTGTGAGGCAATACGTGATTAGAAGCTCAATTGCCGGTGTACCCGGTCTATGTTGCAATCTGGGTCTATGTTCGACCTTGGACCCTTACAGTCGAGTCATGTCCATGTTCAGACAGGAGGGTTCTAGCAAGTTTCCGTGGTGAGCAATGGGAGACGGGTTGAATTCTAGTATTCCGTTCATCTCTGTCTCGCTCCGAGCCACGGCGGCGTTGATTCTGATGAGGGCATTTGTCCGGTCTTATGGGATCCCTCTATACTGGCCTTCATGTGTATATGTGCTGTTCATTCGCGCATCGGCATTATCTTCGTTGGGTTGCTTCGGTGGCGGCTGAGTCTACAGTACATGCAAGGAAACACTCATGGTTCCATGTCCGACCGTTTCTTCTCGTATAAGCAACTCTCATTCTGGTATCAGATAGCGACAAGTGGCAACTTCTGGCAGGATCGCTACTTTTCTATTGCGGTGCAGCTCTCTCCCTACTGAGTCTGATAGAATATTCATCTTAAGTGTGGCTAACAAAAGTGTACTCAAATAATCTTCTTTAAATATCCCCCTGTAGTCTGAATACTCAATTCAACTGTGATCCAGAACCTAGTCTCAACGCTCATGGGACGTCTCCATAACGACATCCCTGACGGCATCCGCCACTTACCCAGCATTCGCCTCATTCAACCCACAGAGACTAACGCGACCCGACGGCAAGAGATAACTATGATACTCCTCCTGCAACCATGCCACCTGCTCGCTGTCCAGCCCAGTATAACTAAACATCCCAATCTGCCGCTCAGTATGCGACCAATCCCCGGGAGTCCCATTGTGCACCAACCTCTCCCTCAACGCACGTCTTACCTTGCCAAAACTGTCACTCACCGTACGTGAGTCCCTCTCCCACTGCGCCCGCAGCTCCCGATCTCCAAACACCGTCTCAGCATTCATCGCCCTAAACCGCGGCGGATTCGAATACTCGGCGCGCGCCAAGCCAACCAACTGCGACCGCGGGCTTTCCAGTCCGAACCCCCACGGAACAGCCAAATGCAACGCGCCGACCCGCTCCCCATATAGCCCAAAGTCCTTCGAGAACGACTGCGCCACACAGAGACCGAGATGCTGGCCCTCCGTAGACAAGAGCAGCTCCTCCACGAAGTAGCGCACCGCCCACGCATCGCCATCGACATCCCCCGTCGCGAAGCCCTGGTACGCGCTGTCGAGGACGACAAACAGCCGCTTGCGCCGGACCAGCTCCAGCACTTCCGCCCACCGCGTGTGCGTGAGGGCCACGCCTGTCGGGTTGTAGACGCAGGCCTGCAGCACGATCACGTCGTTGGGTTCGCGCGTGCTCGAGAAGGGGAGGTGAGCCTGCGATGGGGAGGTATTCGTGGTTCGCGGTGTGGGAGAGACGGGACTTGGCCTGGGGAAGGGTATGGGGTTAGTATTGGTGGGGCTGTAGATTGTAGACTGATGTCTGGAGTTAGCGTGTCTTACCTGCTTCACGCTGGGGAGCACCCACGGCCACCCGTTCTCATCGCGGTACGCTCCGGCGATCAGAGAGACTTTGTTCGGGTGCGGGTCGGCGTCGTACTTGGCCATCAGGTCGAATGCTGGGTCTGGCGGTGCAGCGGGGAGGTTGAGATATTGTCTTGCCATGTTGCTTGTAGATCGTGGGGTTGAGGTGCTGGTGCTTGCTCTGGTTGGGGTGCGTGGCGCGGTCGGGGTAGTCGGATCTCGCAGCTGCTGTCGGCCAATTCTGACTGGAAGCACTACTGCCATTTTCCTCGAATCTCAAGTTTCGGGGGGGGCATTCTTAATGTTTGTGTGCTTCTTATCAAGGGCTCCCAGGTCTGGTGGTGATCGGTCCGCTGACGGATGGCCGATATCATGGTCGGCATCTTGATGGTTCCCCGTTGAGATCGGTGGGTGTTATACCATGTCATAATGAGACAGCAGTGACATTGTTGGATCAGTCAGATATATCCTCGGTTTGTTTAGGAATACTGGATAGTGTCAGATGTTGATTTTCATCGGTAACTCTGTAATCAGTTCAGCAACATATGGCGGTAGTGAGATATATAGTTCTGGCGGAAGCCTTCCGCTACAAACATCGACTTCACTACATCTGAATAAGAGGCTTCAGTTCAGCTGTCAGATAAACCGCAAGGCCACTAGGTGATTAGGGGTCCGTTTTCGGCCGCAGAGAGATGATAAACAATATCGAATTTCGCCATATTATACAATGATGGCCTATACCATTGTTTGGGGAATATAACAATAAATTGATGAGTATACATAGCAAATCCTCGATGGTCTAACGGTCATGATTTCCGCTTGTCAATCCTGAACAGGAACAAGCGCGGGAGACCTGGGTTCGACTCCCAGTCGGGGAGATTTATTTTTTGCTTTAGTCAGATTGACTGCTATCTTATCGGGCTGCGCCGAGCCGACCTGTCCAAATTAAGACTTCGTCTTGTTTGTATCCCGGCTGCCGAACCATGCATAACAAAACTGTAGGTACTCCGTAAGACTCAGAACAGTATACTGGATGGCTGTCAATACGTTCGTATGTGGTTTGTGTGATAAGAAGCGGTTGAAGCGACATTGGGAGTGTGAGTACTATTGAGTACCGTACCGAGTAGCGAAGGAAACACAAAGTAGAACGAGGTATCAGCGAAGAAAGAACTTATTAGGAGGGCGCGCAACCTTGACAGTAGTGTATACGGACCCCCTCCCCCTTCCTTGCATAAGAAGAACATCGAGGTACCTCATCAGGAACGACAGGATTATAATAGAGTCGATTGCATTTCCCCATTGGGACTGGGAGTACTCCGTGCCGATCGGGTCTTGCAAGACCTAGTCTATAACTCGTCGGAGCGGCCCGTTTGGCTCTTTCGCGGTGGCTTGGTGATCGGTAATACACCGATTACCTTCCACCTCTGCGGCGGTGAAGATGTAGCTTTAAATATGATTTCGGAAGCAAGGAGCCGCCAGAAGACAATGTGGTGCAAGCGAACCAGACAGATACCGACAAGGAAGGTCCTCTGGTGACCACGCTGGTCAGTAGCAGCCGAACCTCCGATAGTCATCTCAATCTCTGGTTTCCGCATCTTAACATACAATCCCCCAACATCCATTTTGAGTCGATAACAAGCATGCAGGCGGTGCAACTGCTTAAGGCTTACTTCAGAGATATTGCCATTGTATTCATGTTATTCCCACAGACGGGGATAGTATGTTCATACAAATGATAGTCATGCGCTTGCGTAGTGACGGGGGTCGGCGTGTGGGAGCCAGAATCACAAAGTCACGTGACAGAAGAAAAATGTAAACACCATGAACGCGTGTAGATGGCCTTCTTACTATCCCCGGAATGGAGAAATTTCTAAGACTTCAGACTTTCCCTGCTCAGACCGCTAATATTAACAGACGGATCCGTGCTTATCGCAGTTGATGTGAGTTATATATCCTTTTTTTATTTTTATTTTTTATTTTTATTTTTTATTTTTTACGTTTCAATTCATATATATTATTGTATTTGTGGCATATAGATAGTCAGAAAGAAGTAGTATAGAACTTATAGAGTAATCATGACAGGTCATATCCAAGACTCTTTGGAGGAAGAAATATACCCCGGATGAACAAATCTGAATTGGGTATTGATTTATTTATTTGAATAGGATTTACTACTATTTAGCTTTAGTTGACTGGATGGAGTGGAGGGAGCGGGCAAAAACGTGTCTGACACCACTATTTCTACCCCGCCTCAACCTTGCCCGACTTCGGCTTCTCCGTCTCCGACTCCCCGACTCCGACACAGCAGATGGTAGTGAAGATAGTTTAAAGAGTCCGCCTCACGTTCCTTGAGTCAACGCAAATCCTGCATATATTTCCAGCTCTGCACACACAAAACACCAGCATGACACTGAGACTTATCCAAACACCTCAATCTCTGCTGCAGCGATTGAAAGACGCAGTGGCAACAGAGGTGGAGGCGAAGGCGGAGACAGGAGGATTTGCAGGCTGATTGAAAGTGGAATAGCACGATAAACCATGTGACTGACTAGACTAGTCCAGGATGACTTACTTTAGACTCCTTCCTTCTCAGCTTCAAATCAACTAACTTAACTTAACTTAAGGTAACTAACCCAACTGCCAACACACACTAACACTGGCCCACTTTCGCTGAAGAACGACAACAACCACCGCCCCCCGTCTCACTCATTCTCCTTCACCAATTTGCTAGTCTATCCGATCTTGTTGAGCATGAACCGGAGACAACCTCCGAGACGTCATGCCTGTGTTCGTTGCGTTCGTCTCAAAGTGCGATGCCAGCCTGTCGAAGGCACTGGCACCTGCGTTCGTTGCACAAGGCTAGGCCAGTCGTGCACCCTCCCCGATGGCTTACGCGCCAGCAGTCGACCCAGGTAAGATCTCCATTGTCATCATCGTGGACTGACCTTTCGTTGACGGGCTCTCGTCAGGAAAACCCGCATTGATGCCCTCCAGGAACAGATCGATAACCTGGTCACCCAACTAGCCACAAAGGTATGCTTTGCCTCCTTCGTCCATCGTTCAGCGCGGGTGAAGAATTAATGGAGGTTCGGTAGCAAGCGGCCAATTGTCAGGAACTCTCCCAACCGACCACGAAGCCCAATACCATCGATTCGCCTGACCCGTACCAAAAGGACTCGACTCCTCACAATGCTCGGAGTGACGGCGAAGCGGAGCCGCTGTTCGGCTATTTGTTTACTCTCGAGGAAGCTGACGAGCTTCTGGCCAAGTTTCGCGCCCAGAAGATGCATCACTTCCCATTCGTCATTATTCCACCCGAGATGGACGTCGCCTCTCTGCGCGATCAATACCCCTTCCTGCTCACCTGCGTCGTCTGGGCTTCGCTAGAGCACAATGCCTCATTACAATTGCGGATGGAAGGCGTCATCCGGCAGACGATCGCAACCCGGGTCTTCGTCAACGGCGAACGGAACATGGACCTGCTTCAGGGACTGCTAGTGCATTCGGCTTGGTACCACTATCACTGGAAGAGTATGCATGAGCACCAGTACCTACTGTTGCAAGTGTTGCCGATCCTGGTCTACGATGTTGGTCTCGACCAAGACGATATGGTCAAGTTGCAGCTGCAGCCAGGTCAAATCAGTGAGCCCCGGGAAGGGAAACATCACATCAATCCGGCGGGTCAACGAGCACTCCTGGGTTGCTATTATCTATGTCACAAGTAAGTGTCTCATGCTATTTCCTCGTCTTAGCAAGGCTGACAAAATCTAGATCGTCTATATTCCGGCGACACATGAACATGCGCCACACAAAGTGCATCGATACCTGTCTGACCAATCTCACAACAAACCCCGAATACCCAAGTGACATGCTTCTGAGAACGCTCATCGACACACAACCGTTGATGCGCAAGTCTCACTCCCTGCTCGGCGACGAACTGAACTACTGCAACGACCAATGCCGGGATGCGACTTGGGAACAGATCCTCACGGCGGTGGTCACAAATCAGAAAGACCTCGGCGATATCAAGGCGCGCCATAGCCTGCATGGCAATTGTGAGCCACCCCCGTGCATACCTGCCAATCATTCTATCTGACCCATGAGAAAAGGGGCCTTGCGCATCGAACTCGATGCATTCCCCATGCTGATGCTCGGCCACTTTCTCCGCCGACAGAAGGACGCCTTCTACTTGCGCGACATCAACCAGCTCCAGCCGCTGGCCATCTCGGCCCACCGCGTCGCGGCCACCTTCCTGGCTGTTCCGTCCGCCGTGGTCGTGCACCTACCGATCTCAACGTACACAACGTGGTGGTACTCGATGGTCGTGCTGGCCAAGTTGGGCCTGTCCTTCGGGATCTACAGCCAGCTGCCGACCGACCTAGGCACGAAGAGCGTGCACGAGGTGGTCCTTGCCACTGTCCACCGGATTGAAGGGTTCTCGCTCGGCGACGACTTGTGGTCGGGTTGCAAGAAGGCCATCGCCAAGCTGCTGGAGTGGCTGGAGAAAACCAGCAACGAGACCCCGCGCTCCTTCATGCCCCCGGCCAACAATCCGCTAATCGGCACCACCGATCCATCCCCCAGTCTCATGTCCTTGCCGACCGCTATGCACTATCCAGGTCAGGTGATCCCGGACACCGTGCCTCCCGTCGGGAATTCCTACCAGATGCCGCCGGACCAATGGCAGTCTCCTTTGATGCCGTCGGCCATGGCGTCCGGCCTCGAGTCGGACATGGTGGGCATGGGCATGGATTATTTTATCGTGCGACACATGATCGACGAACTCAGCTTGTTCGGCTCTGCGGCGCAACATACCTTTGTGTCGACGGTGGAGGTCTGAAGGCTTTTCTGGTGGCAGTAGGGTCCATCGACTGGGATTATAGGGGTTCATCAGCTGAACGACTTGCTTCCTAGTTATACGGCATTTGTATATGAATGCGGCGTTTTTGGTTATGTGTTTCAACAAGCGCTACTAGAATCGGCTATGACTAAGGCGTTGGTTGTTTTGCATTAGCAGGCAACATTATATTATTTGCATATTTTCATCCCAGGGGGGTACGTGGCTTGCTAAGGACGCGCTTCGGGAATGTTTATAACCAGCATCACCGATTGTATCGTCCCACCGCGATGATGTACATGTGGGAAATCCGAGTCCTGGAAGCTGGTATGATCTTTTGCTTGGCATGATGAATCAAGACACGGAGCGGGCGGTGTAGTATCTAGCGAGGTGAGTGCGCCTGCTCGCATAGAAGCCTTGTTTTGTATACCGGTGTTTCCCGGAGGGTACTCGAGCCTTCACCATCCGCTGACCAGCTTTCGCATACAGATCAGTTCAAGAAGGGGAACGCTCTCGTGGTAATGGCGGGCGCATGGGTGCTGGGACCAGCCCGTCCGACTATCGAAATTCGAGAGAGCCGTGCACAATGCGAACCTTACACGCTCACGATAACGTAAAACGCCCTTCTTCACCAAACACTCCCCCCAACCATCTTACCAGGGTAGAACCCTCGACCCCTCAGAAAATAACCCTCTCAAACGCCTCTCCCAACCCCCTCTCCCGAAGCCACTGCTCCAGCGCCTGCATATCCCCGCGATTCGCACGCTGCCCACCCCGCTCGCCCAACGAATCCGTAATCTCCTCCATCCCCGCAAACACCCTCCGCACCTGGGACCCCGTCTCGCGGAATCGCTCGCTGACCTTCTTCTGATGGCTGGGAATGTCGCCCCACGAATGCGTCTTGATGAACTTCATGTACGCGTCAATCTGCGCCGAGCCGCCCTCGAGACACAGCACGCCGGGCTTCCCCGCCAGCACGAATCCCGTCAGCCCGAAGTCCGGCGCGTGGTTCACCATATCGTCGCGCTTCTCCCGCGTGGAGAGCGAGGGGAAGTAGAACCAGACTCGGACGAGGGGGTCGGTGATTTCTGCGTTACTTTGCTGCTCTTCTTGTTGCAACTGCTGGGCTTCTAGGAAGTGAAGCGCTGCGTCTTGGAGATGGATTAGGGTCTCGAACACGTCCGCGTCCGCGTTTGCGGGCATGGTCGCCGCCAGTTTGGCCACCTCCGCTTTGGACATCCAGTCTGGGCGCAGGGAGTAGCTTGGTGGTGGGAGCGTTTGGTCCGGTGCTGATGCTTCAGCGGTACTGCTGCTAGGCTGATGCAGCGGGATTGAGAGGTGTACGGGGAGTCTCTTGTCGGTGTCGGCCAGGGGCAATGACACGCACAGCGAGACGCTGGATGGGATCCCCGATGGAGGTTCCCTGCTGGGATCCTCCTGGCACCAGGTGCGCAGCTTCTCCAGGCATTCGGCTGTGGTAGCGGGGATTTCGAGCTCCTCGGGTGCCGCGTACATGGCTGCCAGGAGGTCGATGGTCGAGAGTTGCATCTCCATGAGGTCGGCGGGGAGGATGCTGGCGGGTTTCGTCCGGTCCGTGGGGGACCGGGTGGGTATCGTGGCCATTTCGGGTGTTTACTAGTGTGTGAAATAGGAGAAGTCGGCGAATGAAGAGAAGGATGCGCCAGCAGCCAACTGCCCGGAATTGGGTTTATTTGATGTATAGGTTGTTGTATGATTGGGGATATGCTTGGAATCGGAGAAGCTGGTTGGTGTGCTTTGCTCCGACTGCGGACCCTCGGAATATGGATCTTCCGCTGCTCTGTTGCTCCGCTCTCCGCGATTCGGCGCAGTTGCCAAGCATTGTCACCAAGTGCTTTCTTGCGCTTCTGCATTCGACGAATATCTCCATCCTATTCGTGTCTTGCTTGAACGGAGTATCATGCTGCATATTAAACTCGCTTGCGCCAACCGGGCAAGCTCATTTATTCAACGAAGTCTCATTGGTGGGGACTATCTCGTTAGCATCAACGAGTGGTCCGGTAGCAGGAAATGTCAGCTAAGGTCAATTAAATTCCTCTAGCTTCGGAATAGTTCATATTTGAATTGGTTGGGCTGGACAGTAGGGGCATTTAGGGGTTTGAGGTGATGGTGGTGGATGGGGGTTGTGGACGTGGGGAGGTTGGGGATATGTGCTGATGTTGGTACAAAGCCTCAGCTTTGAGATTTTTGTCGGGAGCTTGGTTGAAAAAATTCACATTCTTTCAGATACTAGTTTGAGAGAGATTCCCTAAGCTCGAATATTTTGTAAATCCGAGGGAGAGGAGATGGGGGCTTGGCAGCAGATCGGCTAGCCTGCAATTGTGCAGGGATTCTAGTTGGAAGGTAATTGTAGTCACAAGTAGATGCTATGGCTTTCCCAAGAGTCACGCAATAGAGTAAGGTACCCGGGAGGAAGAAAGTAACTAATGGCTGTCGTCAAAGACAGCAGGATAGTATATGGAAACTGGGCTTATCTGATATCTGATCGCACTAGATCTGATTGGTGGTTAAGATTGGCTCTGGGTTCCTGCTCAGCAAGGGATAGAATATCTCAGCCAGAACCCGAAGACGTTAGATACAAGAACAAGATTCTCCCAACAGGAACACTTGATGCTTTGCTAAGAGCTGATGCTTTGTTCGGACAATGATCCCAAAGCTACAATAGCTTGTTGCATGTCAGCACAGATCAATTGGCTATCCACAAACCACCCCAGCCTCTGTAATCATAGCTCATGATATTTGTAAGCAGCCTATTCACATTCTTCGCGTGCAAGGACTTCATCTAGCCCATGCCATCACCGCGAATATAACTGTCATCTACAAGTGACACTGCCCGTGCACGGTCCGAGAAACCGATGTCCCGTTCAAAGTCAACTGGAGAAAAAAGTTAGCTTCAACCATCAATCGCATGCCAAGACCGTGCTTGAACTCACAGTCCAGTGGGCGTGCTTCTTGCAGTAGACAGGCTTCAAGCCATCGGTGCAGTTCTCGCGCTCGTAGCTCCAGTCCGTGGGGAATGCGGGTATGCCTGTGCAGCAGTTCCATTAGTCACCATCCCCTTGTTTCGCTTCATAGGAAGCTTCTTACATTCGCCAGCAACCCGATCGCCCAGGTCCCAGGCACCGCCGCCCGCCCCGACGAATGCGCTGGTCACTTGCTGGATCACAACGTCGCCAGCCTCCTCGATCTTGTCGGTGTTTGTGCAGCAGAGCGGGATGCCGTCACTGTAGTCGAGGACGGATTCGGCGCTGGCGATAGCCGCGAGAAACAGAAGAGCCGGAAGGGTGAATTTCATTGTGGTAGGCTCAGGTTTAGACTCAAATGTTGGTGGAGAGAGAAAAGGGATAGTTTGGGACGTTGCACGAGAAATGGTCGTGAGGCCCTTTATATCCGCTCGTGTGGAGAGTTTACTACCCCTGCTTGACAGTAACAAGAAATCGGAGAAAGGGCGTCAAGCTAGGCAGCTATTGTCCCTGGCATGTGTAGCTGGGTTTTTGATTGATCGCTTGCTGATCGCCATTCGACGACGCGGTGTCAGATCGCCCCTTGCGCGGGACGTTTGGTGGTCGCCTATTCCACCTTTCAAGGGATAAATTTATGATGGTTTGAGCCCACTCAACAGAGCAAGCCAAGGCGTTCTACTGCTTAAGTGCCTGTGGCCTTTCCCATATGCTGTTTTTATGCTCCTCTGGCAGCGAGTGTGCGTCATCACGCATGCTCATGTTCGGGACTTGAGTCAAGGCGGGCACATCTTATCAAGCGCGAGTGCTGTGAAGTTAATCCAGATCATTGTAGTGGATGTGTAGAAAAGCAGCGGGGAAAGAGAGCTTATGCAGAGTCCATGGCTCGTTGAGCGACCGCGCAGCAGTCGGTACAGACCTTGGCTAAACGTCTTATCGCTTCGAGCGTACAGTCGGTAGCCGTCTGGGATAGATATGACTCGGCCTGGTAGAGCATCTTCAGGTTATATATCTCTGAGGTATGTCTAGGGCTGCGTATAATGCTGGAAGCAAGCGTTTTCATCGCAACGGAAGGGTAGTAGTATGCGATCCTGGTAATCTGTTAAAAGCCAAGCAAGACTTCCGTAAAATGATCGACCTCACCCTAGGTGTATATCGTCCCGCGGTAAATACTTCAATAATGTAAGAGATGCTCTTGCGGCTTTGGATGCTAGCGATGTGGATAACAAGACCCGAGGATTTTTCGAATACTCTGGTGCGATGGAGAGCCTGTTGCCGCCGGTAAGGTCGTGGGCAGACTCTACTCCCCTCATGGCAACCAAGGAGTGGATCGCAATCATGCAGTCGTGATAATTATAATGAGTAAACAACAGAGTCGAAAGGGCTGGTGATTGTCGGAACGGTGGGATTGCCTCTGAGTCAGGCTGATATTCGTGGGGGATTTTTCTCAACCATGTTTGCAGCTTGCTGTCAAAGTTCCCAGCAACAGCAAGTAACTGGTCAAAAGGCTTATTGGCCACCGAAGCAAGGTACAACTGTCTGATGACCTGGGTTCTAATCTGTATAAGCTCGATGGCGGAATGGAAAAGATTGAAGGTGCCCGATTCGTCCCTGATTGGTACGCTATAGGCACTGGAGGGAGAATTGATGGACATTGCCTCCCCAAGAACGTCTTGTTGTTGTGCGGGAGGAACCCCAAATCGGTAGGATATTCTTCCCAAATGTCAGCTTTAATCACAGTAGAGGTTAAGTCTCATGCCACATACTCAGTATCGATAGCACAGATCAACCAGAAGAGCAAGTGCTGGTGGTGCACGTCGTCCATCGACAGTCCAGGCCGGGCTTCAGATCGTTGCAGCCCTAGTTGATTGCTGATCTGGACCGCAACAGAGATCAGAGAACTGCAAGGATGAGCGGCAGATGCTGCCAAGAAAAGGACAGCCATCACCAAAATGGCTTTGCAAGCCCACAATTCAGGTGGGGCTAGAACTATCTCGCTGATTGTCTGCAAAGCACTCTTCATGAACATTGCGCTTCGCTGGTGGTCCGGTCGACTGTTCTCAGACGGAAGCATATATGCGACAGCTAGGATGACATGAATGCTGGCCGACTGACCCGGGCTGCATAACCGCGGATCTGCGTAATTCTCGGCAAAAAGACATTCAATCTCGGACAGAGTGTATACCGGGAACGTTATGTTAAAGTATTCCATGTAGTTGTGAAGAAGTTGGGATAGGGGTTCTGCTCGCGGAAACGAGCAGAATACCTTCCTGGGTGGCAACAGAGAACTCAGCTGGGGATCGGAAGTCAAATTACCCAGGAGAGGATCAATCTGACTCGAATCCACCTTTTGCGATATCCAATCCAAGCCCTCATCAGTCAGCACAGAGAAACCTGGGCTTCGATTAGATCAGGGATATCGCCAGAGTTGCATGTAGCCTGACTCACATCCTGACCCTGTACCGCTCATACACCTCGGGATGTAGAAGCATGGACGCGTCTCTTGATGCAAGCCTGATACGACCCGAGTCTGCATAGTGTTGATAAGGGTATTCAAGTCCGAGCGATCGAGTACTGGCGCTGTCTGGCTCGACATGCCCTCCATGTTTTGATTATTCGAGGTATCTTGTCTGGGGTTGTTGCTTGCCGAAGCCGACGAACCGTTATCACCAGGAGGCGTGTCCGGCACAGGGCTGGTGTCTCCCACATTGAAGATGCTGTTCAGATGGGTTTCCAGTCGCTCTAGCTTTCCTTCAAGGTGGTTGATCATCGCCTCTCTTTACCCGAACAGATTAGCTCTTGGCTTTGGGAAACATACGCGGGGCCTACGGACCGTCGCAATATGGTTCTATATCTTTGCTCGTTTCGTGTACAAGAGATACCCATCTTCTCGCATCGGGAACACCTGGTATTCAAGGAGGAGTCGCATTTCGTCTTGCTGCGCCGACATGCTTCACATGCCTGGTTTTGAGGGGATCAGTGTGTGGCTCTTGAATTGTGATGTTGAACATACCTTCCGCTTCTTGAGCAGATCATTGTTCTCGTACCTCGAGTCGGAAAACGACGACTCCCGAGTGCTAGACATGGTTTGGAGGAAGTTTTGAGGATTAACTAGTTAATCAATGCAAGTTAACATGAATATGAAGGATGGCTCCACCCATTTTGTCAGCTTTAAAACCCCTGAAGCCTGGACCAAAGGGTAAGGGCTGGTATCGTATGTATGGATGTGTTTCAGATACAATGACAAAGCTGGCACTGTAGCCCGGCTACCAATAGTATAGAGTAATAATCAGCAAGCCAAGCTCTATTAAGGGCTTCGGAGGCCGGATGTTGGGCAGGATTGTGAAGGCGGTCTGTAATTGCTGCGTAATGATATCTTAGGATCCACGGACCGTTAAGCTGCCGATCATCGTCTCTCTTTCTCTTTCTTTTCCTCTCCCCTCCGTCTCCACTTCCTCCTTCACTTCTCATCTCCAATCATTCCAACAACAACAACATCACCGTCATGCAAGCCATGTGCCTTCGGCATTCAGGAGTTACCGCATGTCTCTTCTGACAAATCTCATTCCATCCAGCTTCACTGGTAGGTAGACAGTTGCAGTGGTCGACCCGATGCAGTAATCCTGTCCACTTCATCGATAAGCTCACTGTCTTTGATAATAGCTCCCTCGTGGGTCCAGCCCAACATGTCCACTTTTCTCTCGGCTCCCGGACGTTCAGTGACTTTAACTCGGGATCAGGGATTGATCTCCACTGCTCCGAACTCCGCCTCCTACGCTGTCTGGTTGGCCCGGATGCCGGAGACTCCTGCTGGCACCCAGCCCGTACTCTTCTTAGCTACAATTCAAGCATAACAATCATAATATGTGTCACAAAGATCGATATTCCGTCTTGATTATTCGACTCTATTCCGGTCTTTTCGGGCCCCCGGGCGTTAGCCCTGCACGATGAGCAGTATTGATCGGATTGCCAACGCTCCGCAAGCGGATCCTTCTAAAATCTGCGCGGTCCATCGACTATGTATATCTAGCCCACCCTTCGCGAGTCCTCTTTGCTGGTGCTCATTGAATTTCACTGTACTTTATTCGCGATTCATCCGTCCTTCTCATAATTGTTTGCTGCTTCATTAAGATTCGAAGGACAAAGCGCCCTCTGTGGGCCGATCAAACCTCTACGGTGTGCTCAGGCACTCCTTCCTTTCGCACCCGTCCACTGACTGCTTGTCTCACTCGACATATGGTCCTGCATTTTTCTCAAGATGTCGTTCGTTGCTACAGCCAATACTAATTCCGGAAGGGCGGCTGAGGTAGTCAGTCACAACTTGCCAAAACAGCAGGGGGGCGCGACCTACCATGACGATCAAGCTTCGGGAACCAAGGAATTCGATCAAGAACCCAGTGAAGATGATGCGACTCTTCAAGGGCGGGAGGAGAAGATGGAGGCGCGAGTGGGTGATCTCGCGCGGCGACTCACCCGCCAGTCCACTCGCTACTCAACCAAAGGCGACCTCGAGAACCCTTTCGTCAGTACCAACCCAGAGTCAACGCTCAATCCTCACAGCCCCAACTTCCGAGTGAGGGACTGGATCAAGATGTTACTTGCTATTCGCACCCGTGATCCGGAGCGCTACCCCGAAAGAACCGCAGGTGTGGCTTTCAAGAATCTCAACGTCCACGGCTACGGCTCGCCCACCGACTACCAAAAAGATGTCCTCAACTCGCTTCTTGAATTCGGTACCATCATTCGGAAGCTTATGGGCATCAAGATGCAGAAAATTCAGATTCTACGCGAGTTTGACGGGCTTGTCAAATCAGGAGAGATGCTGATGGTGCTTGGAAGACCCGGCTCAGGTTGTACGACCTTTCTCAAGACAATGTCTGGGGAGATGAATGGTATAGAGATGTCGGACGAATCTATGCTTAACTATCAAGGTGCGTTTCGTACTCACAGTGCCTGCCCGGGGACCTTGTTATGCTAACCTCGTGTGCTATCTTCAGGTATACCTGCGAAAGAGATGCACAACGCCTTCCGTGGTGAAGCGCTCTACAATGCTGAGACGGATGTTCACTTTCCAATGTTGAGTGTTGGAGATACGCTTCAGTTTGCCGCATTGGCTAGAGCTCCTCGCAATCGCCTAGAAGGGGTCAATCGACAGCAATACGCCGAGCATATGAGAGACGTGGTGATGGCAATGCTTGGTCTCTCCCATACAATCAACACCCGTGTCGGCAACGATTACGTGCGTGGCGTTAGTGGTGGTGAGAGAAAGCGTGTCAGTATTGCAGAGGCAATGTTGAGCCAAGCCCCCCTGCAAGCCTGGGACAACAGCACCAGAGGATTAGATTCCGCCAATGCCCTCGAGTTCTGCAAGAATCTGGCATTGATGAGCAAGTATTCAGGAACCACGGCTTGTGTCGCAATCTATCAAGCCTCTCAAAGCGCGTATGACGTCTTTCAGAAAGTGACTGTGCTATATGAAGGAAGGCAAATCTATTTCGGGCCAACATCGGAAGCCAAGCAATTCTTCGTTGATATGGGTTTTGAGTGCCCCGAACGCCAAACAACAGCCGATTTCCTCACCTCCTTGACGTCGCCCTCTGAACGACAGGTCCGCCCTGGTTTCGAAAACCGCGTCCCGCGCACACCTGATGAATTCGCAGCCGCCTGGAAGCAAAGCAGTGCGCGAGCTGCCCTTTTGAGGGATATCGATGATTTCGAGAGGCAGTATCCGCTCAATGGCTCTTCATACGAAGCCTTTGTGGATGCGAGACGGGCCATGCAGGCAAAGAATCAACGTCTGAAGTCGCCTTATACTATCTCAGTGTTTGAGCAGATCTCCCTTTGCACGACTCGTGGTTTTCAGCGGCTCAAGGGCGATATGAGCTTAACTCTTAGTGCCCTGATTGGTAATTTCATTATTGCCCTGATTGTCGCATCAGTTTTCTTCAATCTCCCGGATGACACTTCCAGCTTCTACTCGCGCGGAGCCCTGCTGTTTTATGCGGTTCTTCTTAATGCATTCTCCAGCGCGCTTGAAATTTTGACCCTTTACGCTCAACGTCCGATTGTGGAGAAACAGGCACGATACGCATTCTACCATCCCTTCGCCGAAGCAGTAGCCTCTATGCTTTGCGATACACCCTACAAGCTGCTAAACTCCATCACTTTCAATCTTCCACTATACTTTATGACCAATCTTCGCCGCGACGCAGGAGCGGTCTTCACATTTTGGCTCTTCTCCGTGGTGACAACTTATACTATGAGTATGGTGTTCAGAACAATCGCCGCAACATCTCGGTCACTTTCGCAGGCGCTGGTTCCTGCTGCGCTGCTCATTCTCGGTATGGTGATTTACACTGGATTTGTCATTCCGACTCGAAACATGCTCGGATGGTCTCGCTGGATGAACTATATCAACCCAGTGGCCTATGCGTTTGAGTCCTTTCTCATTAACGAGTTTTCCGGTCGCAAGTTTGACTGCTCAAGTATTGTTCCATCCGGCGGCCCATATGAATCTGTGTCAATGGCATATCGCATTTGTTCCACCGTCGGCGCCCAGGCTGGATCGAGAGTCGTGGACGGGTCACTGTACCTGAAGCAAAGTTATCAGTATACAACTGGCCATGAATGGCGGAATCTCGGTATCCTGATTGGGTTCATGATTTTCTTCGCCTTTGTTTACCTGGCCAGCACAGAGTATATCTCTGAGCAGAAGTCCAAGGGAGAGGTGCTTTTGTTCCGTCGAGGCCATCGGGCAAATATTCCTACAGAGGGCGACGTCGAGGTTCAACCCGGGCCGAGTGGCGCCGTCAAGACCGAGGCTGACGGTACCCAAACTGCCGTTCGCATTCAGAAACAGACCGCAATCTTTCACTGGGAGGATGTCTGTTATGACATCACTATCAAGGGCGAGCACCGCAGAATTCTCGACCACGTGGATGGTTGGGTGAAGCCTGGGACTTGCACTGCATTGATGGGTGTCTCTGGAGCAGGAAAGACTACCTTGCTGGATGTTTTGGCCACCCGTGTCACCATGGGCGTTGTTACCGGGGACATGTTGGTCGATGGAAAATCTCGAGATCATTCCTTCCAGAGAAAGACTGGCTACGTTCAGCAACAGGACGTGCACCTCCCTACCTCTACTGTTCGCGAAGCACTCCAATTCAGTGCTTTGTTACGCCAGCCAGCGCACCTAAGCCGACAAGAGAAACTGGACTACGTTGACGAGGTCATCAAGCTTCTTGGTATGGAGGCTTACGCAGATGCGGTCGTTGGTGTCCCTGGAGAAGGCTTAAACGTTGAGCAACGTAAGCGGTTGACAATTGGCGTTGAGCTTGCGGCGAAGCCCCAGCTCTTGCTCTTCCTCGATGAACCGACGTCTGGCCTTGATAGTCAGACTTCATGGTCAATTCTGGACCTAATTGACACCCTCACTCAGCATGGACAAGCCATCCTTTGCACAATTCATCAACCATCTGCCATGCTGTTCCAGCGGTTCGATCGCCTACTATTCTTGGCAAAGGGAGGAAAGACCATTTACTTTGGTGAAATCGGCGAAAACTCGACGACATTATCGAATTACTTCGAGAGGAACGGAGCCCACACCTTGAAGAATGGAGAGAATCCCGCTGAATGGATGCTTGACGTTATTGGCGCAGCTCCCGGGTCCAAGACTGAAATTGACTGGCATAAGGTTTGGAGAGAGTCTCCAGAGTACACAGGAGTGAAGCAGCACCTCTCCGAGCTCAGGTCCACACTTTCGTCGAAGGCCAAGGATGAATCTGACCCAAAGGCTCTTAAGGAGTTTGCGGCGCCGTTCCACATCCAACTCTGGGAATGTCTGATCCGAGTCTTTGCTCAGTACTACCGCACACCGTCCTATATTTGGAGTAAAACCGCTCTCTCCGTCCTGACCGCTCTCTATATTGGCTTCTCCTTCTTCCATGCGAGTAACTCGATTCAAGGAATGCAGAATCAAATGTTTTCTATTTTCATGCTCATGACTATTTTCGGCAACCTTGTTCAGCAAATCATGCCGCACTTCTGTGCTCAACGGTCACTGTATGAAGTCCGGGAACGACCCTCAAAGACCTATTCATGGCAAGCATTCATGACGGCCAACATCTTGGTCGAACTTCCATGGAACACCCTGATGGCGGTGCTTATGTTTGTTTGTTGGTATTACCCCATTGGCTTGTACAACAATGCAAAGCCTACTCACGCGGTAAACGAACGCTCGGCTCTTATGTTCCTTCTGATCTGGGTCTTCCTCCTCTTCACATCCACATTTGCCCATATGGTTATTGCTGGAATTGAACTGGCCGAAACAGGCGGTAACATCGCGACGCTATTGTTCTCTCTCTGCTTGATTTTCTGCGGTGTTTTGGCCACCCCGGAAGCTATGCCTGGATTCTGGATTTTCATGTATCGCGTGTCGCCTTTCACGTACCTGGTGTCAGCAATGCTGAGCACGGGTATCTCAGGAACAAAGGCTGTGTGCGAGTCAGTCGAGTACTTGACGTTTAACCCTCCCGACAACCAGACCTGTGGGGACTATATGGCAACCTATATCAGCGGAGCGGGAGGCTATCTGGCGGACCCGTCGGCCACATCTAACTGCCAGTTCTGTACCATCAGCGAGACGGATACTTTCCTTGCATCCGTTTCCAGCTACTACTCTGATGCGTGGCGGAACTTCGGGCTGATGTGGGTTTATATCATCTTTAACATTGCGGCCGCCGTTGGGATTTACTGGTTGGCCAGAGTGCCCAAGTCGGTCGGAAAGGCTAAGAAGGAATGATCTCCTTTTTACCTGCTGATACCTCTCACCTACGATCGTTGTTCCTTATTTGTTACAGCACTGTGAATAGCATCGAATTGAACTGTTTGGACTTTCGTGAACACCTGTTCAACCTTCTTTCCGCTTCGTCCTTGCACACTTTTCTTTTTCTATTGCTTCTTGATTTGACTTTCAACTCTTCCTTTCTTGACTCTCGTTCATCCCTTTTATGAAATTACTTTCTGCCTTTGGATTCTTGTAAAGCAACTGTATCAGAAGGGTATAGCTGCTTCAACTCCTCCATTTTTAGATACTTACCTTCTTATTTTGTTCTATAATCTAGATCTGTCGCTTAGAGTATAGAATGCTTTTAACAAATACTACCATTCTGCCAGCAAAGGCATGCTTTGTAATCTCATGGGTAGTCACCAAATATGCCCGTAACCGAAAGGCTAGGAGCTACCTGAGGCGTATAGCTCGAACGTTTTCACCAAAAACCACGTTCAGACGATCAGTCATGCATCACAGCCGAAGGATGCAGACGCTAGCTATGCAATAAGCTTCAAGATAACACTGTTGTATAGTACATGTATCGACGACAACCAGAACTGTGAATTCTCCAAGCTTAGTAATGACCCTCAAGGGGAAACATGCTTAGCGTCCTCGTCGACCACGCTGCTCCGTTCACCAGTAATAAGCCGTTGGTCACTACCGTCACTTTGCTGCGTCAAGGCATAGTGCTCATCGCGAGGGCTGACACTAAGACACCATCCTTGGGGTATCAGTCGACAGACATCGGCCGCGAAGACGAGGAGCGCGGAGACGATCACCAGCCAGAGCATCCACACGATAACAACCCCGGAGCTCCAGCCAGCCATCTGAATACCTCTTCAGTCACAATGATATCGATTTGTCAGTCGTGGACGAAGAGCAGGGAAACGGCAAAGCTTACAGCGCGGTATTTACTCAACCACTGCCCATAATCAGCCACCCCAGTGTAATGTGTAGTAGCGTGACAAGAGTCGGACGCTGCCTTTTCTTGTAAATTAGGTGATGCAAATAACAAAGCGCAAGCTGCACGAAGAGGAGAATGAAAATCATGAAACCGAGGTATTGATGCGGTCCTGCGGCTCTTTCCTATCAGTTGGAGTTTGTGTTAGATCTTATGTTGTGCGCTGTAGCGGCGATGAGATGCATGGATGGATCGGTACTCACTTTGATTGAGGCCCAGGAGCTGACAAGCATTATCATGATAGCGCTTGCACTGGCGATCGTATTGCCAAGCTGCAGACCCCAGTGGATTACGAATGCCTTTTTGAAGCGTCTGCGAATGAGGAAAGTGGCTAATGGGATCGATATTGAGAACGTGAGGAAGAGTATCAAGCCGTGTGTCTTTGGGATGAGGAGGGTCTGGTACTTGCGATCCGTGTCTGCGCTCGAAGGCGTGGCAGGATGATTCGAGATTAAGCTGGCTGACATTGAGAATATGGGTCTGATAGTTGATTCCATGATGGTAAATTGTGTAAAGATGCATGTAAACCACCGCCGCGATGCTCAGTCATTGCTGGGGCACCGCGGGAGCGAGAAAAGTCTCCAAAGTTTACGAGTGAGGGTTTGAACCCCTCTTATATGATTGTGTCCTAGCACTTTGTCTTAGCAGCACATGGAACTTGAGTGGGGTCCAGGTTTCTCAAATCGAATATAGTTGTAATCACTGGGACGCTTGTATCTACAACTTTTGACATATAAATAAACTTGCTATTTCGCTGACTCTGATCAAAGTGGAGGATCTTGCTATATTCGGCATATTCAACTTGTTAGTTCACATCGTCCGGTCTAAATACGCTCGCCACAGTATCCCCCTTCGTCCACTCCCATTGTGGATAGGCTATCTTCTCCGAACTCTCGACCACATCCCAAAGATAATCAACGGCCTTACATTTGTGCTCAAAGCTATGACCAGACACCGATTGCTCAAGGACGTTGCCGGCATTATCAAACCTTAACGAGGGAGGCTCTATCGTATCATCTGGAGAGCAAAGGAGAGCCTAGAGAAGATAAGTATTCTAATCCATGGTCATAAGAAATGGAGATATTACCCCCACGTACCTGGGCAATATAATCTAGGCAGTGGCTCATATGCTGCTTTCTGTCGGATTCCGTCTTTTCCACGGGTGCGGTTGAGTCGTGTGCCTCGTGAAGGTGTGCCTTGCTATCATTCAACGCATACACTCGCAGAGCATCTACGCAATGCAGCGCATGAAAAACAGTTACGCCCCACCCAACTGAATACGTCCTATTGTGCTGGATCCATAGCAAGCCACCTTTTGCTGGCAGCGGCCGCGACGGCCAGCCTCCTTCGATTTTGTCGGCGAAGACCCGGAGGATGGTATCCGCGGGGCTGGACGGTGACTTTAAAGTCGTATCCGCAGAAGAATTAGAAACCTCTTTAGTAAATGAAGGCTTAATTTGAAGGGCAATGAAGCCAATTATCAAGACAGCACTGGTTGCGGTGAGGATGCTACATATCGAGAGCGACGATTGCGTTCTAGACATGGCTTTATGGCCTTGGACTAGACCGGCAGAGTAGGCTCAAATTTCAAAGAGCTCAAGGAGATACGTGTATGACTGGAGAAAGAAGGTCAGCAACTTTTTTCATCGTCCATCTCTCTTGCCTCATATTGTCGGGGCCGGCGATGGCGGAGTAGAATACTTACCCTCACGAGAGCGAGCTAAGCCGATATTTTTGATCGTCATACCTGTCTCTTCATCGAGGCTCTTCATGGCACTCAAGCTTCAGAGGCCGCGGAGAAGATTTCACGGCCTTAGGACTAATAGCGAAAATGCAGGTCAGAGCATCAAGCGATGTGACGCTTTCCGCATGTAATGCCCCAATACGATACTCAGATACTCCCCGAAAATGAAACCGTATTCTGCATGACGTATAGGCGTTGGGTTTCCGGACGGAACAACTGACAGGTCGCGGATGTGACTTGGGTTGCATCTAGATCTAGAATCTAGGGCATGTTCATCGTTAGACAAAACGATAGGTACTCACGTGCCAATTGTGTCCCACGATCTATGCTTTTCCCGGGAGGTAAATGAATGCAAAGAAGACAGGGCATCAAACGGAGGATTTAGTGCAAGACGGGAGTTCTCAATCAGGTAATCAACAAGCCAAGTCTCGACTCCCTATGCTGTGACACTGTGACACGCAACTCAATGAGGCATCGCACAGCCTTTCCCGCGTGGAGCCCCAAAAGGAAACACGTCTGCATCTTCCTCAATATTCATTCCGAGACATAAACTTACATTTCCAACTATCGAGGGATTTGACTTTAGATTATGCGAAGTAGCACCTTAGGCATAGGACACACTGTAAGATGGGGTTTGGTCATTTCGACACAGCTTACAGGCAAGCCACTTCTCCAGAAACAAAGAGGTACATGTTTCTGTTGAGCATTTGAATGGGCTGTTCTATGATAGTACGAATTAAGGCATTGGTTTTGCTCTGCCGGATAAAATCGTTCAATTGACAAGGTGGCCTAGCTAATAGCCTAGCTAATTCGAATCTTGCCAGATGAGCTGAGATTGTAGCTCCTATCGTTGATTTCGGCAACAACTATGAATCTGCCGCGAACCTTCCAACAAGTCTATGACCCAGTCGCTGTGGACGAGACTGAATCCCTCAAAGAAGATGTATCCAACTCTAATGTGAATGAAGTCGATCTTCCCAACGACTGCCCGTGCCATCATCGAAACCGACCATCGGTGTTTCTCTTTCGCATAGCAGAGATAATATCGGCTATAATATGCGCATGGATGTTTGTTATTGGTCTCAACTGGCAGCTAAGAGCTGATGAGCTTTGCTACGAAATCCACAACTTTTACAGTGTGTTGTCTGGTCGTTCTCTCTTACTCGGCTATTTACTGACGAGCATGAAGCACCCGCTTCGAATCATGAGATAGATATTCAGTATCTGTTATGGCAATTTAATGGAACAGTTGGATATCCTTCTCCATATGCACCCAGATCATTTGAAGAGGGCCCCACACCCGAGATCGATGAAGCATGGGAGAGATTCCACGGTATGTTTCGCACACTCTCTACTCATTCATGGTGCAAGTACACTGAACGTTGTGACTATAGCGCGACCAATGAGTGTATCTCTTGAGGTTGTTGAGAAGTCGGGCGAGAATACAGACGCTGTTCGGTTACCAGACGAGCTTGGAGGAGGTTATCTGGCCTGGGCTGAAGTTAACCATCAACTCCACTGCTTGAATCTGCTGCGCAAGGCGATATACTGGGATTACTATTATGATATCACGAGGGAGCTGCAAAGAGAGCCTCCCGAGGTTTATGCTCATTTGGGTGAGTTTATGTCTTCTCTGTTAATGTATTGGGTTCTTGCTGATGGCCCACGCCTTAGATCATTGTATCGAGATGATGAGACAGATCCTCATGTGCAATGCGGATACCGGTCTACAGCTTCACCACTGGGTCAGGGGCAACCCAACCCCCATACCGAACTCAAATACCTGGCATATGTGTAAGGACTTTGAGAGCATTCTCGACTGGACACATCGAATGCAAATACCCGAGAGGGAGGGGTATTTGCCAATTCTGCCTGGTTCCAAAATCTATGACCGTCAACCATGACATTCGCGTCCATTGCAAGTCGAGCCTAGATACAATCTGCGCAATAATCTCTTCTTCGAGACCTTGAAGGTTATGTGAAGATTTGCTGCAATGTGGTTTTCTTGCCTCGGTAGCTCGGCTTCTATTGTCCTGCCTTCAGTTTCCCCTGGAATAGCCGTGTTGCATCGGACTTGGCGAGCCAAAATCCATTCACACGTTTAAATCCTCTAAGGTAATGCTCTGCTCGAGGAACAGTTCACCGCCCTAATAGTCATACCTGCCCTATAGAGCTTTGATTTGCCAGCGAGGTTTGCGCACCTGATTAAAGTCATGACCAATGCCACCACTGTAATTAATGCTTATTGTTTGAACAAGCGCCGGTCCTTGACTGCAACTGTCACTGTGTCACAAACTTTACCAATCGTGTGTGTGTACTGCACAGACTTGGAATGACTGGCTTTACTTCCGAAAGTCATTTTGTGCATGTGGGAAGGTAAGACAAGCATGTGTAACCTCTTGATCAAAGCTTGATCGGTTTGAATTGTGGTGCACTTGCTTGACTCTGCCTAATCGGACTTGCAGGAATCTGAGGGTGGGACAAGCAATACGTTCCCTATAACCTATCAAGATCAGGAATTACTGCTCGATACTAAACATAGAATATTCTGTAGAGACCTGTGTCGTTCTGTCATACGCCTTCTTGTGCTTATATAAATTCCACGGAGGAAATCGAGAAGGGCACAAGAAACTAAATTTTGGTCACAGGGATATATGGCGCAGAATCGTTGGTGAGGTGTGATAGGGAATGCCTTTGAGACATCTCCGAGGACTAAGACAGTATGCTGTCTTCAGCAGCTCGACTGACCAGGAGATTCTTACATCGCCGCGCTGATATCCTATTGGCGCTCGCAGCCCTTGCAGCGGCCACGCCAACTGCCAGCGTCGACGTGGAAGACGCGGGGCTGGAAGCTGACATCTCGGCCCAGGCCGGTATGAGCCTTTCTTATCAGTGTACTGCGACCCTTCTTGTTCTCTCTAATATGGTCGTTGCAGGTGATTTCGAGTCTATCGACAATGAGAAGCGCGCGTACTACTACTACAGACACAGACCCGCCTAGCAGCCTGAGGAGCAAAAGCGCGCATATTACTACTACCGAAACGAAGATGTGGGGCAGGCTGAGGAGCAGGACTAGACAGCATGATGGAAACGACATGGACAATGACTTACCGTCGTACGAGCTCCCTGGTCTAGTTTGTATTTCCTGTCAGATTGCAAACGACAGTTGTGGACGCCTATAGCTTCTAACTGCTCTTTCATCTCGGATTGGATTGTCCACGGAGTCGATGTTTCTGCCTGAAACCGATGCAGTGCTGTGTGTATTCGCTCAAAGCTATCTCAGGAATCCCATCTGCTTCAGCCATCACTGATCGTAGTGTAAGAATGTTCGACCCTTGCGTTTCTCAGTACGTGTGTCGCAGGTAGATCTCTGTCTTTGAGTAGAATTATACAGATTTTTCCTGTCAAGGGCGGAGGATATAGCGCTTTTACAAGCTCTTATCTTAGCGTACACAATTTGAAGTCATGCCAACCATTTATTTGTTGTTGATGACCCGTTTTTATCTGGAGCCCTCCGCATATACTCCAACCCGTGCTTCTTTAAAGTAGACTATGTGCATTATCGTTTACAGCCAGTTCTGCATGGCTCACTGCTATCCAGCTTGTGAATCACAAGCCAAACACAGACTCCACTGTGTCACCCAACTTCCAGCCCCACGGTGAGACTGGGTCTCTCTCACTGGACTCGATCAAGTCTCTTACGCGCCGAGTATCCTTGCAGTGGTGCTGAGTTCCTTCTCCATCCACTCCGTACCCAACAATATTTCCATTCTCGTCTCGTCGCCAGAAGGGCGGCTCAATCGTCGTGTCCCCACTACAGACCAGAGACTAGAACTTGAATTAGCAAGGCCTTGCCTCCTACTTCAGGGTGTGGGAGAGCTCTTACCTGGGCGAGGTAATCCAGACAGTGTGCTGCATGGTCGGAGAGCTCCGCATTCTGCGACTGATATAGTCTGGGCCCCGGGGCAGTTTCTAACATGCGGGACCGGATGGTTTCTATGCAGTGCAGGCCATGATACATGCTGACGGCCCAGGTCACTTCTAGCGTCTCGTTGTGTTGGACCCATAGAAACCCTCCTTTTGGGGTGAGCAGTTTGTCGGCCCAGTCCCTCGAGCCGGGTGAAGCGGGGTCCTCTAGATTAAATTTTCCTGTAAATGTCATAGTAGTCTCGGTCGTATCTGGAGGCTTCAAGCCTGAGAAGGCTTGGGTGGAGATTTGCGGGGAAATCAGGCAGTGAGCCACTGATCCAGCGTTGGCGCTGATCATGGAGATGATGGCTAGTATTTCAACTTGGAATAAGAGTAGTGGTAGGCCGATGATAATTGGAATTTGAGATAATGAACAGGTAATGTTGTTTTTGAGATGCCATTACCCTGTGAGTGAATGGGTTCAAAGCAATGATATTGTCGGCACACTGAATGTAGTGGCGAGTCTGGAGAGAGTGGGAAGCAAGAGTGCGCTGCAGCCTTTTGAAGTGGGATTAATTGCAATGCATGAACCTAAATAACCCGTGACCATCGCTCACTGCATGGGGATGACAGAATTGTAGTTTTACAAAAGCCGGAAGCGTGCTCGTTCCTGCACGGCCCGAGCACTGAGTAAGGATTTTTGCCGCTACGGCAAGTACTAGCCCTACTATCTCGATTCTCTCCGCTACTTTGGGCATCAATATGTTCTTAAAGCACGAGAACTTGAGCTCCTTCTCGTCTTTCCGGGATCACCCTCGTTTCAATCAATCTCGTATTGGTTGTCTTGCGGTTTTTCTTAGGAAATCCGCTAGTTTCTTCTCGCTTGCGTACTGAAATTGCCCCATCGCATGCCTCTCCCCCATCCTACCTTAGATTCAATTCTGCAATTTCCATCGATAATTTCTATTCATGGTAAATAGTATTAGTAGAGCATCAGATTCATGAGTCCAAGATCATACAATAATCCACAATCCATAAAATAATTCTTTTCAAATCAAGAAGCTTTAGACTCTTCTATTCAGTGGAGTAAACATGTTATATTGTGACTCCAGCAGCGCGCATAGGTACAAATTTGTCCTGGGAATAGATCAACCGCGTCCAGAGGTGACTTTTCAGCTCTAAGCAACGTGATCATAGTTGATCTAGACGGAATTTGAATTGTCGGCGCACGACCAGGCAGCGGAACCTCCAGACTCTTTATAGTTGTTGATGATCTCCACAACCGAGCCATAGGTGCCAGCAACCATAAGGAACATCCCGGAAAGGATGACAAACCCACTCCACATAACCATAAAATACCACCGCCGTGTCCTTTCGTGCCTATCAGATTTCCAGTTGTCGTATAGCCACATACAACCCATTGGCTGGAATGACATCAAGGTGCCCAGGAGCGCACCGATGAGAGAGACCAGGCTGTTGAAGACGGGGATGGCGCTGGCAATGATGTAAGCAATCATGGTGGCTCCGAAGGTGCAACTGAGCCAGATTGCCCAGTGCTTGAAAGAGTTGGCATTGAGATGTCGGGTGCCTCGCATAAGGCTGACAAAGATGAACTTGCTCGGCAGCTATATGAGAGATGAATTAGTTTTCTGCTTTGGCCACCTTTCGCAAGGACGATGGCCTTGGGCGCAGGGACAGGAAGACGCTACTCACGTGGGAAACAATGACGGTCGAGGCGAGGAGACCGGGGATCCCGATTCCGTAGGCCACCTTCTTCATAAGGGGGCCGGCAGAGCCGAGGGCCGGAGATGCGACGTAGGATCCGCAGTAGTAGTAGACCACGACACCGATGCTGATGTACGTCGCTGTCACGACGCTCTGACAAATCGCGAGCGAGCGTGCATAGTGCTGCGGCTCACGCATCTCAGCTACAATGGCGAAGAATCCCGGAGTACCCGCATAAGCAAATACTAGGGACGAGATTGCTGAGATCGCCTCCAGAAAAGAGGGCTTCTTGAACAGCTCGTAGTCGGACTCCCAAGGACCGGTCGTCGGTGCACTAGCCGGCCTATCTTGAACACCGACTGCGATAGTTACTGTGAGGACTGAAAGACAAGTTAGCTAGGGCGTCTGGTCGTCTTAACCGCATTCTTAGCTTACTTGCTGTCAGGATGCTGAAAAGTCCGATCCAAGCGAACCAGGTTATCTTGCCTAGAGTACGAATACTGCATAGCATAAACGCGACGATCGCAGCTACTGCGACAAACACGGCAGTGCAAGTACCATGCTTGGAAACAGCGTTCAAAGCGATGGAGACACTGAGCATTCCTGAGCCCGAGACACAGAACCAATCTAATGTTATTAGTGATGGATAATCGATGATACGGAACAGGATACCCCACAGATACAGAAAGCAGAAGCAAAGAAGCCGCGTCCAAACACCCCAAACAGTTTGTAACCGACATCATCAATAGAGTAAATCTCACGATGATTCAGCTTGAAGGTTCCAACAACATATGAGGACCAGGTCGTAATCGTCGCGATGACTAGAAGGCAGATAATGCCGGGTATAAGGCCTAGCACGTCAAAGGCAGCAGGGATAGATAGAACTCCCAGTCCGATCATTGACTTCATCATGACAATGGACGTGGAGATCCATCCCAGCTACAGGGGGTTAGTAAATTGCAGCGAGTATGGTCACTTGGACATGCTCACACTGCGATAGTTGGGACCGTCCTCGGTAATTTCTCCAAAGACAGCATCGGTGGTACCAATCTCAGCGTGTGAGGGCACTTTGTCAAGGCACTCCAGGTCTTTGCTCTTCACGGTGTCGGGGGCGCCTGCGTCCATGGTGGAAGCAAGATCAGGCATGTTTTTTAATTCGACGTGAGTGAACCAAATAGTTTCATCACTGCGACGTTACAACGGGAATACGAAAGCATTTAAGTCGCATCAGTTGGTGCACATCCGGGGTAGTCGTCCGGACTGATGCTCATGTCGGATAAGATTGACAGATACCAAGATTTGGCCCCGCATATCTTTAATGGTCTAGTTAGATTGTGGCAGAAGATCAATCAATTAACTTTCAGCCTAGCCCTCAGTAATGCAGTGAGAATAGAATAAGTTATCAACCGCACAGGTGACGTCGAGATCAAACGGCAGGCACAGCCCCGTTTAATAGAGTTCATCCTCGAGTCTGCTCCTCTCGGCTGTTATTAAGAGAAGGAACCTCTCAGATCACAGAGATATTCGCATATCTGACCCTATCTGGCTGTATCGCGAAGATAGCCATGGGTTATAAGTCACACCTAGAGAGAAGCGGACGATAGTAAAACAACACGGGAAAGAGATAAACCTTCTTATCTTATCGGCATACGATGGTTGGTTGACATCCACCCCGCAGTGCGCGTAAACTAGACCGAATTTCTACACGACACTAAGGCCGCCTCCCTTTTGAAGCACCGCCCCAATGAATGATATCGACAACGATAGACACACAGAATTGTGCCTTCAAGTAGGCCATCTCTGTGGCGAATGACTTCACCATCAGCAAGAAGTAACACCAAACTGATAAGCAGTCGAAAGTGGGCAACGAAATCCTTGCAAGCGCCTGGGCGGTTTATGCTCAAACTTGGTTGCCTATACTCACTGACGCCCTCAGTATCGTAACAGGGTCGCCGCTGCCCAGTCTTCTACCCGGGTCTTGGTATTGTAGAGACATGTATGTCCCAAAAAGGACTTCTGGTTACATTGGCAACGCGTGGCTGGACTCCTCGGGCACCGCGGGATTCTCACGCAACTTTGTATCGTCGAGGCCCAAAGCATGCTTACTGTTATTGGTGGCGTAAGTTGCAGCACAGAGATATGATTCGCAGCAAGACGTCTCATTAGACCCCATGAGCCCGTCTTCTGCCCAAGGCTTATTCATGTAAGTATCCTCGCATAGAAGCTTCTAGGCCAATGGAGAGATAATATGGATTCTGGAGAAAGTCCACTTTCGAGATCACGCGTTCGCCCATGGTGGCCTCGACACGAGAATTGATGACCTCTTGTTTTCCATGGCGCAGAAACAGCGGTTTGATGTGGCGCGGTGGCATCGCCTCAGAAAGAAAAAACCTGGATCCTTGACATGGTAATCAGTCATGTGAATGAGGATGCGGATTGTCTTGTGCGGCAGGTCAATCGAGGAAAATCTGAAAGAGGTATTTACCCAATTTGCGCATGAATGTCCGGTGGCGAGCCCCAAATATTGAGAATCAGGCGTGGATTTACTGATTTCTAACTGGTATATGATGATACTCTGGCGGTCCAGTGTCAGCTTATAGCCATTTGTGAGATCAGACTGGACATGATGTGCATTAGATCTTTTCTCAATAAGTCGTTATTCTGAAACACAATGGCGTCTGCGTGATCCTCAGTGATTGCTGGATATCGCATATTGGCACTTTGACAGTGATTTATAGAACAACAGGGTCTTGCGTCCGAGCAAGACGAGGAATTAACAACTCAGCCCTTCCGCATCAAGCACCCACTCACTCAGGATTCCTCATCGGTATCCCGTCTCACGCGCTGGGCTTTCCGATGTTTGAGCCACATTGTTGACCAGACAGGGGACTTGGTGACGTCGAATGTGTAATCGACCATTCCCCTTGAGCAGGAAGAAATAGGGTTGAAGAAAGGGGGGACCGTGGGATGATGCTGCGATGAGGGCATGATAGCCGAAAAGATGATCGATGGGCGGGCGGGCTATCTCATCTTATCTGCCCGCTTGCCGCAGGCGGTGAGCGATCTGGCCACTAAAGAAAAAGTGTTTCTCATTTCACAAACTTTAGAAATTCGCTCGATAACAAGCAACATACGCAAAAAAGAGAATTCCGATGCGGGGAATCGAACCCCGAGCTGCTGTGTGAGAGACAGCGATGTTGACCATTACACCACATCGGAGATTGGTGAAAGGAGGTTAGAAACTATGCATTATTTTGTAACAGTCATTGTGGACAGGATACTAACACCACATTTTTTACCTGCTACGCAGGGGGTTGATTCGCTTACAGCATCAAGAGTGATCTGTTTCGGTGGTTTTTGGATTATGTCATGAGTTTAATGCCAGGCATGCTCAAATATAAGTTTTGTGCCACATGCTTAACGGCTACAATGTATGGAGAAGTATTCAACCCGTACTTGTCTGTCCTGCATTGAAACCTCTTCGCGTCGCACATTATATAATTTTAAACCATACAGGCTAGATTTGAGATTGTGGTCACATCATCTTGCCTTTTCCACTTGAGTCCCATATTATTTCTTCCCCTTCCTCCAATGTTTTGAGCAAACGTTAATCGACTCCTGTTGCAAAAATATACGAACGATTTCACTAAGAACGCGGCTTCCCAGCCATCACCTTACTCAAGAGCCCGGCCAACGCCTCGCGCTTCTGATTCATACTGGCGAGTTTCCCGCGCTGGATCTTGCCACTGACCGTCCGGGGAATCTTCTCTACAAAGAACACTCCGCCATCGATCGCCTTGTAACTGGCCAACCGCTGCTGCGCGAACGAATAAACCTCATCGGACCCGAACCTGGCGCCGTCAGCCCGCACGACATAAGCCCGGGGAGCTTCAGTCGTGTGGTCCAGCGCAATGCCGGTAACAGCCACATCACGAATAAGCGGATGCTTCAGGAGGACCGCCTCGATCTCCGCCGGAGAGACCTGGTATCTAGTCTCGTCAGCACCACCTCGTGCAACAATCTAGACATCACAAGCCAGAAAAAAGCTTACCCCCGGACCTTGATCAGTTCCTTCGTCCGCCCAACAACAAAATACTCCCTGGCGGCATTGAAATACGCCACATCCCCGGTATCAAACCAGCCATGCGTATCGACGCCTTCCCGGCCCCTGCCCAGATACCCGGCAAACACGCCCTGACCCCTGACGAACAACCGACCCGGATGCCCTGCTTCAGTGACTATCTTCCTCTTGCCCTGGATCTTCTCATCTTCATCTCCCAAACCGAGATCCCGTAACTCAACCTCCCACCCAGGGATAACGCCCCCAATACCCCCCTCATCCCGTCCGCGCCAAAACACGACCCCACATTCCGTCATTCCCCAGATCTGCCCACAACTCGCATTCTGCGGGTTCAACACCCCCCGTAGACTCCGCATACTCGCTGCATCAATTGGCGCTCCGGCCACCCCGACGTACGTAACAGATGCCAACTTCTCCCGCACGCCCACCTCATCCCGCCCCGCCGCCTGAAGCAGCAGATGCACCATCGCGGGCACGAGATACACTTCCTGGATCTGGTGTCTGTGCACCAGCTCCAGGAACAGCGGGACGGTGAACACTTCCCGCATGATGTACACGGGGTGTCCGTAGCGGAGGGGGAAGAGGTGCGTGAATAGCGCGCTGAAGAGGTGGAAGATCGGGAGGGGGATCAGTCTTTTCACCCGTTTGTTGTCGTTACTCTCGGGGGGTTGGTGGGCTGTGAGGGAGGCATGTTGCGCGAGGATGTTCGCGTGGGTTAGGATGGCCGCTTTGGGGAGGCCGGTTGTTCCGCTTGTCGAGTAGAGGGCTGCTGGCTTGGTGGATGCGGCTTCTTGAGTTAGGGCAGGAAGGTTCTGGGTGGGCGGGTGGGTGAGGAGGGTGGTTAGGTTCTGGGGCTTGGAAGATGGTGTTGTAGGAAGGAGGGTGTGGGTTTGTGTGTATATCACTGCTGTGGTCAGCGCTGGGTCGTCGCAGAGCAGGATATGATTTTCTGGGATGGAGGCCTGGCTAGCGACGTCTTGGACCGTTGTGAGGGCGCTAGGCTCCGTGATTATCAGTCGTGGGTGGGTGAGTTGGATCAGATGGGTCAGTTCGTCGGCGCTGCTGTGCGGGTTAGAGCCCATGTAGACGCCTCCGGCGCCGATCACCGCTAGGAAAAGGGCCGTGTACAGGATCTGTTCATGTTCACTGGAGTCAGTACCTGCATCTATGGATAGGGACCGCAAAGAAAAAGAGAGAGACGTACGTGGTTGCCTGTGTGGAGGAGGACGCAGTCACCCTGAGCGAGACCCTGGGCTTGGAAGCCGGTGATGAGTGTTCGGACGAGCAAGGTGAATTGCTCGCGGTTCAGGGACTGGGCTGAATCTTGAGTGTCGATGAAGAGGGGAAGATCTGCCTCGTAATCCTCTTGAGGATCGAGAGCAAAGCTCACTGCATCGTGGTAGTTGGCGGAGCCCATGGTGCTGTAGCGGTGATACTTAAAGTCAGAAGGGAAGAAAAAAAAAGCGAGGGGAGAGGCCACGCTGATATAGGGGGCAACTAGAGACCCCAAGCATAGCTGGCAGTGTACTAAGACTACAATTGACATCATAAAAGATCATACACTTCATATTGGACCGTGGTTATGGCTTCCTGGTTCCATTACACCATTGCTCTCTTTGCATCGTGATAAGAGGAATTCACAACAAAATCAACCTTCTGAATAAAAAGAACCTTATATTAATACTTTAACCTCCTACTTCCAACGCATTATTTCGATAGAGCTAGTCTACTAATTAGGTACTTCCATCGGCTTCAACTGAGGTACGAGCATTGGATCCAGCTTCCCCGCGGCCTCCGATGCCAACGCGTCAATCGACGAACCACCCAGCAACTGCAACACTGGAACATCCACCCCAAGTTCCTTCACAAACCAAGTCCGCAGATCGACTGCTGTGAGCGAGTCGACGCCCACCTCCGTCAGCATCATGCTCCCTGGGAGACCCGAGTCACCAGGCAGATGCAGCTTGCGCCGGAGTTTGGTCCGGAAGCCATTCGCAACCACCTCCGCCGCGGACGTTGAGTTATCTACCGTGAGAAGTTGAGTTTTGATAGGCACTTCTTCTTCGCGGGAGCCTTGCTCAGTAACAGCTGACTGGCGGAAATGGTGGATAAAAGGCCAATACTTAGGATTGCGATACCAAAGCACGTTGGGATGCTCTGCTGGGTCCGCCAGGCGATAACCAGCCATGATCTCGGGGTCACGTCCCGAGTCGGGTCGTCCTGCTAAGATCGCCTCTGCGAACAGTTCCAGCAGGTCGCCCTCGGACAGTTCCAGGGGTCCGATAGTATCGGCCAATACGCTCTGCATTCCTGCATCGAGGCCTGCAATGTACCCCACCCCGCGCACCTGTCCCGGGTGGATGATACTCCCGACAGCTCCGCGACGGCGGCGTTGATGAATGAGGCCGGCCATGAACTCGGTTGCAGCTGCGTAGGCTGCCTGGTTGTAATTGCCCCCAACTCCAGCGACGGAGCCCATGAGGATGAAGAAGTCGAGATTATTATCATCGTACATACTCTCGAGATTTCGGCTTCCTTCAATCTTCGGTGCAAACACGCGTAAGACATCGGCCAAAGATAGGTCCTGAAAAGGAGCGTCTCTCAAGACCATAGCTCCGTTCACGACTCCACCTACAGCGGGCAGATTCAGCCTCATGTAAGCGTGTACTTCGCAGACGGAAGTCAGGTCGGTCACATCCCTGGGTGTAGATGAATCAGTAGTGGCCCCGATGGACGAAAAAAACAGGTAGCTTACATATTCAACACTGTCACAGAGGCTCCCAATGACTTCATCTCTGCTAACCACGCAGGGTCAACTCTGGGATTCCGACTAGTAAGGACAAGCGAGCGAGCACCCCGGGTAATCATCCAGTGGCAGACAGATAGACCCAGGTCTCCAGTCAGACCCACCAGGAGATAGGTTTTGTCTGCACTCAAGTTCACCAGCGAAGTGGCCGAGGCAGTGGAGACTGGCAATGCGGGTGATCGCTGCCAGTCGACAATCTGCAGACCGTCACCAGGGGAAACACAGTCCGTAAGCTTGTCCGGTGACAATGTTTCATGAGCTGATGAGCATGTCATACGTCGCTCCGCATACTCATAAGCTTCCTTGAGTCTGTGTTGATCTGGACTATTTGGTGCTTCTAGAAATGAAGATGCACGATAAAAGGAATCTCTCCCGAGATAAGGCAACTGTGGGGGTAGGGCAGCCCGGATTCGAGCAACCACGTCCTCCTTCTCGAACGCAAATGTGGCAAGGGCAGATACTCCTCTGGGCAGGAGACGCGCAATAGCGCGCGACGAGCTCTGAGGAGGAAAAATGAGCATGTCCGAGCCCCCTGCAAGGGTCCGGCGGGTAGTGCTGAAGTGAAGTTTAATGTCCATCGTGGATGCAAAATAGGATAGACAATCCTTCACATCCTTTGGACATTCGTGGATAAGAACATGAGAGCCAGGTGATACGGAGTCCAAAATATGTTGGGCAACGAGAGCAGAGCACATATCCCCTACAAAGGCTGCCTCGCTCCCTTCAGGAAGGCCAGGCGGTACGTCAATGCACCAGGAAGGGGGTGTCGAGGTAAAGGAGGCATTGTTGATTGTGGCAGCCACAATTTGTGCTCTGGTTTGCTCATTGTGTCCGCTCACCAGATGTAGATATCCATCGCCCATCGGAACAGCTGCAAGAGAGGCATGATGCACTCGAATGGGTGTCCAATGCTGCCTAGCCACGTCGCTCTTGTCCGCACAGAATGGTTTGTCTTTAGTGCGAAGCTCGAAGCTCAGGCCTGTCTCATCCTTGCTCTCCAACGAATGAACTCCCACACTAGTCTCTTGCGGAGTAACGGTGTCGCGGCTCGTGAAGCCTCGACTGCTTGTCCACCGCTGGTTCATAGCGCGGCTGGCTCGCATGCGCGGAATCTTCATGATGCCATCCTCCAAGAGAAGCTCCCATTCGGGGTTCTCTGTCGCTTGCGCCAGACTGAAATCACTCTCCATGTTGGTATGAACTAACCGCATGAGGGTAGTCGCGAGAAGGTCAGGTGATAAGTCAGTCGGATCGCGGACGTTGAGATACTGAATCTGTGCGTGGGGCTTTTCGAGCGATAGGGTGCGCAGCAAGCCTTTGCTCATGCGGAGATAAGGCTCTTCATTGACATTCCCCATGGACACCCATAGTAGCTTTCCTGTCACTTCAAGTACTGCCTGTAAGCGGCGTAAACGATCAACGCTTATTCCCTGCAAGCAGGGCGCGTCCAAATCCGACAAAACCAGCACGACGGCCAGAGATGCGTTGGTCGGCAGCATGGAAGTCTCAATACTGGATGCCTGAGTAATGCGAGCGAAGAACGGGCTGAGCGTATGCCGTACAGCAGTAACAAGCTTGTCCGTCGCAGCGGTGGCACCTCCCAAGAGGATAAGATCTCGGTGCTGACCTCGGGCCTGGACCGCGAGGGGGGCTTCTATCTGCTGGATTTGGTCGTCCACCGCGCGCGCAGTGAAGACCGACTGTCCAAACAGCTGACCTTCCTCGAAGGGGGATATTGTCTCAATTCCCGCAAATCCTGTAGCCTTCAAGAGATCGTCCCAGCGTTCGCAAGATAACATAGGCCCGCAGGAGCGATCATCGAGCTCCCCCAACCACCAGCCCTGGAATCCCCCGAATATGAAGTGATAGGCAATCATGTCAGGGTTGGTTGTTTCAAGGATTACAACTCGACCCCCTGGTTTGAGCGTGCGCCGGACATTAGTCATAGTCTGCCCCAGAGATCGAGTGGCATGCAGCACATTACATGCTATGACCAAGTCATACTGATGCTCCGCGAAGCCTTGCTCTGTTGGATCACGCTCGAGGTCCATAACCTTGTACTCAAATCGGTCTTGGTGCGCTGCAAAGGCTTCCTCAGCGTCTTGGAAGAAGGCAGCTGAGATATCGGTGAAGGTATACGAGTGGTAGGCGCGCTTGATGCGCTTCAATACCTGTCGTGTGGCTGACCCCGTCCCGGCGCCGACCTCGAGAATCTTCATGCGTGGATGGCGAAACGCCAGTTGTTCAACCAGGCCTGCGAGGTTACGAGTCAAAACCTGTAAATCGTGAACCTCTTTATAGAACCGTGTGAGGAAGCTATCACGTCGCAGCTCTTCCATAATATCGGCTTCACCACGCAACCAGCCCATCAGGCTTTTGCCTACTATATCGACAGCGCGGACTGCGATACCAGCAGAGCCCAGCTCAGATGAAAGCGTTGAACTCAGGTCGCCTTCCAAATCTTTTGGTGAGTAGTCAGGATGCGTTCCTTCTCGGACCCTGTTCAGCGCGTTATCCATCCAGGCCACGTATTGGGCGCGGTGCCAGTCAAGATTCCTGCGCTCAGCGGGAGTGAGCTGTAGTGCGGCATCGCGGAGATATAAAAGGCTCAGTCTATCTGCAAGATGGCGATCGCTGTGAAGATCCTGCGTGCCCAGTGCAGTGCTCAATGACGCAGTGGGGTTAAGAGGGCCCCATGCCTCTTGTGCAAACATAGGCCAGTCATCGAGAGACAGTTGAGTCAGAGGCTGGATCTGCAGACCCTCTATCTGGACCATACCTCGGCCCTCGCTGTCAAACAGCTCGATATCTCCACTGAGGCCATTTTTCATGGTCTGTGATACGGTCGCTTCGACATCTATATTGCCTTGGGCGGAGCGGCGTACGACGGCTGGATTAAACGTAGTGCGGTTGAGCCGGACCGGAAGGTAGAGTGTTGACAGCTGTGTGTCACCAGGATGAGCAATAGCTGCCATAAAGGCTTGCAGGCCCGTATCGAGCGCGGCTGGGTGCATCAGCAGATCAGAGTCTTGTGTAGCCGGGGGCGCAGGGATGGATCCATGGGCAACACCACGCCGCCGAGAGATATTCTGGAGGCTACGGAAGAGGTCCGAATATCCATATCCAAGCTTATCTAGCTCAGCATAGAAATGTTCGGAATTGACTGCTCGTAGCCCAGAAGTGACTGGGTCATGTGGCGAGAGAAGCATAGATTCCGGTTCCCCAAATGTCACTTCCAAACGGCCAGATGCACAACATGTGAAGGTACCATTAGAGACTTTCTGACACGAAAATGTCGCCATAGACCTGTCTGACTCGAACTTGATTTCGCTCACAATGAAAAGTGTTTCGATTCCGACACTGTCATCTGGGATGGAAATGGCATGCTGGATGACTAGGTCGTGGACGTCTACTAGCATGATCGACCGGTCTTCGGCCATGACATGAGCAGCCTCCAGAGCCATGATCAGAAAGCTAGTCGCAGGCAGCACAATCTGCGATTGGATACGATGACCATGTAGCCATTCAAGGTCCTCCAATCGCATGTAGTTTCGCCAGCGCCATTCACCCTCTCCCCGCTCGGGGCAAATGACCCCAAGCAAAGAATGTCGCGGTTGTTTGCGATGTATCCGAGCGGCTGAAAGTTGGGGAACCGCCCAGTGGGTCTTGCTATGGTCGAAAGAATAGGATGGGAGATCGGAAATATACTGGAGAGTCCGGCTTGGGGAGTGTATTCGGATGAAGGATTGAAAGTCGATAGCTTCGGCACCTAGATATGCCCACATAGAACCAAGACCATTGGCCAAGGATTCGACTCCACTAATACTGCGATGGGAGAGTGACAAATAGGGCAGTTCGGCGTGCTCGGCGACCAGCGACGACAGGGTCTGTAGGGAAGGGCCTTTCAGCGCAGGGTGTGGTCCCACCTCAATGATGGCATCCAGGTCAGGGATGGCTGCTGATGCAGCACTAAGAGCTTGAGAGAATTGCACCGGTCGGAGCATATTCTCGCTCCAGTACTTTGCTTCCAGTGTCGACATCGGCTTTCCATCATATACACTTGAGAACCATTTTGTTTTCACCGTGCCCTGAGACCCGCCCACGTCGCAGGCTTGCATGGCGTCAAGATACGGCCCGGCACAGGGGGCCATATGATGAGAGTGGTAGGCAGTATCGACTTTCAAGCGTCGAGGAGACTGGTCCAGACTGGCAAACAACCATTCTAGCTCGCTGATCAACTCCTCATCACCGGACAGGGTTACACTGGAGGGCGAGTTAGAAGCAGCCACCACCACGCGACCAGAGTATGGCGCCTCGCTGCAGATGGCCTGTGCCTGATCCCAGGATATTCCCACGGCTAACATGCGACCTGTCTGGCCGGGAGACCCTGCATTCTTGGCAGCTAAACCGCGAAGATACGCAACCCGGATAGCATCCACTGCCGTAAGCCACCCTGCGGCATATGCTGCTGCAATCTCGCCGGATGAGTGACCAACAACTGCAGTGAACTCTACCCCAACAGACTTTAAGATATTAACCTGAACTATCTGGAGGGCGGTTCGCAGAGGAAGTGAGATTTCAGCGGTACTGAGACGGGAAGTGGTCTCGGGCTTTGAAAGCTCATCCAGGAGGGTGAAGTTGGGCCGATACTCGGGAGGAAGCGCTTCGAGTGATTCCTGTAGCTCGTGAAACCAGATAGCCGCTTGGGAGCACTTGCAGATAACATCTAACCCCATTTGCGGCCATTGGGCACCTTGTCCAGTAAATACACCCAATATCTTCCTCCGCCGAGGAGCCAGACGACGTGAGGTGATTGTAGGTAATTGCCCAGTTGAGGCATGCTCTTTCAGTGCAGCTTTGAGTTTACTCTTTAGATCAGGAACTGATTCGGCGGTAAATACCACACGATGAGCCAGGACGGATCGCCGGTTGATAAGTGAAGCCGCTAGATTTACCAAGTTGACGTCGGGGTGTTGATCGAGATAATCCATGTATTGTTGCAGCATCGTCCGAAGACAGGAGACAGATGAAGCAGAGAATACGAAAGGCAAGGTGATAGGTCTAGCGTCATCAACCGTACCTACGCTGTTGGAGTCTGAATCGAGACTTTCGAGAATTGCATGGGCATTGGCACCCCCCAGCCCAAACGAATTGACCGATGCCCGACGCGGAGAACCGGGGGCCACAACAGGCCAAGGCTGAGCTTTAAGCGGGACGCGAAGATGATTAAGATATGGAGCAACTCGAGGACTTGGCTTGCTGTGCAGAAGGTTCGGGGGTATTGTTGCGTGCTTCAACGCCAACGATGCTTTGATGACGCCCGCTATCCCGGCGGCGCCCTCCGTGTGGCCGACCACAGATTTGATCGATCCGGCGAACATAATGTCTTCTGGGGCGGTTTGTTCATCGAAGAACGCTCCAGCAATACCAGAGGCTTCTTGAGGATCTCCCGCTGGAGTGCCTGTTCCATGAGCCTCGAAGTACTGGCAACGGTCTTTCGCAAGTAGAGGATTCAAGCCAGCGCGAGCATAGGTAGATCGAATGAGGCTTCGTTGCGCCTCCCCGTTGGGCATGGTCAATGAGTTCGTACGACCATCACATCCGATGCCAGTTGCACGGATGACCGACTCGATGGCATCACCATCCTTCAGTGCTTGGGAGAGGGGCTTAAGCACTACCGCAGCCACCCCTTCACCTCTGGCATACCCATCTGCCCTGTCATCCCACATGTGGCTTCTGCCGCTCGGCGACAGCATCGAAACAGAAGATGAGACAATGGCATCATCGGGAGAGACAATCAGACAACTACCGGTCGCAATAGCCAGCGAACAGTCACCCTTGTGCAAGGACTCTACGGCCAAGTGCAAAGCCGTTAAGCTGGACGAACATGCTGTGTCCGTCACTAAGGAGGGGCCATGAAAGTCAAAGAAATAAGACACTCGTGTGGCAAGCATCGAGGGAGTAGTCCCAGTGAGCATGAATGGCGGCAGGGCGTTAACGTCGGAGCACAGCAGTTTGTAATAGTCCAAGTTCATAGACCCAGCAAAGACGCCAGTGGGCGATCCCTGGAGTCGCTCGATAGGTAGCCCAGCCCTTTCAAGGGCTTCGTAAACTACCTCCAGCAAGAAACGCTGTTGGGGATCCATTGATGCGGCTTCTGGAGGGGATATGTTGAAAAACGACGTATCGAATGCTTGCACATCCTCCTCGAGGAAATAAGCCTCGGGGGCATTGATCGTGCCAGGTCGTGGCTTTCCGCCCTGATAGAAAGCTTCCGCGTTAAATCGGCTAGCTGGCGGCTTGGAGGCAAGATCTCGAGGCTCCTGAAGAAGTTCCCATAGTTTAGATGGAGATGAAGCTCCTCCCGGAAACCGACAGCCAGTGCCAATGATGGCAATCGGCTCCGTGGAAGCCATGAGGACAAGAGAGTAGCAAAATCGCAAAAGAGGTCACGGTTGACGTGAAACCACAGTGCTGACGGGTTGAATAATCTCTGCGTTGGTCTAATGTGAATAATATTGACCATACATGCCTTATAACAAGCGGACGGTCTGCTGTTCCTCAGGTTACATCCCGTGGGTTCAGAACCGTGGAAGCATTTCTGGCTACTTAGGGTTGACCACTCGGTATCTCCGACTCGAGTAATGGGATGCTTTCGTCATTCAAAAAGGGCCCAGACTCTCCTGAAAACGGAATCTCGCTGTCTTATTCATAGCGATAAGGTTGCGGATGGCAGCGGCAACTCAAACTGATTAGCCGCTGTCCCGGAATCCTGGGTCAGGATACATGACATTCACTCGTCGTAGGGTAATGTACACCCCATCATTGCAACCTCGTTATCAAGCTTTTGCCTGGAAAGTCACCTTTGACAAATCTTCCCTGCTGTACGAATGATAAGTAGTCCGTCCACTGACAACGATATCACGGTCGAGAACAACCAATCCTCGACAACAAATCAACCAAACCATTCTCCCATCATGTCTGAAGGCTATGACTGCTATACACGTACGGTGCTTTGGATGTACGACGTCCAAGTTCACTGGTTCAACGACAATTTTGCTTGGCGCTGCCCTCGCTCGGTCCTGCAGGCCTTTTTTGATGCAAACGCAGGCCCTCGCCACATGGACATTGGCCCCGGAACAGGGCTCTTTCTGGCCGATCACCGTGACAAAATGAAGAAAAAGGGCGTGGACTGGCCCGAGCAGCTTGCATTTGTCGATATGAATCCCAATTGTTTGCAAGCTGCCACCGCCCGCGTGGGCGTTCCGGCTCGCACGTCTTGTGTCAAGGCCAATGTCTTCGAGCCATTCACTATTCCCCCATCTAAAGCTATCCCGGCAAGTAACGCCAAGTTCGATTCGATCGCCCTGATGTACGTTCTGCACTGCCTGCCACCTCCATCTCAGCGAAAGGCGCAGATCTTCCAACACCTCAAACAGCACCTGACCCCAAACGGAACCTTATTTGGCGCTACAGTGCTGGGAAAGCGAGCCTCCCACAATTGGGTGGGCCAAGCGACAATCTGGTTCTACAACTGGAACGGCATTTTCGGCAACTTGGAGGATGATGCCGACGATTTCGTCAAGGCCTTGAAGGAAGAATTCGACGTGGTCGAGGCCAATGTTGTGGGGGTGGTGCTTCTGTTTCGGGCGACAGGACCCAAGGTCAAATGAATCATGGGGACGTATAATGCACTTTAGTTTGGGGAATCGTCAGAGATATTGAATCTCGCTAGAGGCCTTCCTTGAGGTTGGGACGACAAACTCGTGTATACATCATAGCTTAAAATGGTATAAGTTTGCCGTAAAGAGAAGCCTATTGCCTAGATCAGAACAGCAACCGATTTCACCATGGAGCAAAATCCCTGCGCAGTCCAGTCTGGGCCTTCCGAAAGCGAATCTACCACCCCTATAATCCTCTTCCACGACGCAGGCGGCACCATCATTCCGTACTTCAGCCTCGGCGACCTGCATCGCCCGGTCTACGGCATTAGCAATCCGCGCTTCGAGCAAGGCGGGAAGTGGGAACATGGACTGCGTCAGATGGGCGTCGTCTATACTCATCTGGTTCGATCCGTGCTCAGATCAGGACCACTTATTCTCGGAGGTGGGTGAATCCTTGCACGCGTGGGCACATTTTGGCGCGAAAGGTCTAGAAACTCATCGGATTCAGGGTGGTCTTTGGGTGGCTGTCTCGCGCTGGAAGTGGCATCGAGACTGATGCAATTGCCTCAGTATATCGTGCATGGTGTCGTGCTCATCGACAGTGTCTTCCCCACTCAAGCTGTCACTGACCATTATCCGCGCACTTTGGCCGATGTTACCGAGCGATTTCAGCTGCCCGATCAATTGTCTGGCGCGCACCGAGCCCAGGCCCAGCAGTGTATCCTGCATGCACATGAGATGCACCGGGAGTGGAAGCCCCCACTGTTCGCGTCCGGCCCTCCTCGAACCGTTCTACTGCGGGCCATTGACTCGATGCCGGAGGATACGTCGGGGACTCCAAATGCCCTCGACATTGTGAGAGACTGCAAGCATCTGGGCTGGAACGAGTACTGCACAAGCTTCCTGGTCGCTTGTCACGACATACCTGGCAATCATTTCACAATTTTTGAAGAGCCTAATGTCCGATTCCAGCGTTCCTCTGGTATTGCGAATATATGACTAATCGAGGTAGCAGTGCCAACAAATGACTCGTGGAATCCGAGAAGCTTGTACTCACTTAGAGAGTTACCATGACTGAACTCAATTTTCGGCAATGATGCAACTCCGATCCACGACAACACATCAACGACTAAACCATATTCTTAACTTATCTTGCGTGAACAACCAAGGGAGCGTGGTCTCTGGTTGATGTCTGGCTGTTAGGTTTCATGTCAAATAGTGCAGGCTCCAATCAAGGATAAAGACTCTATAGTTCATGCAATATGTCACTATGCATCCATAGATCGGAATGAGGACCCGTTTCCGGCCAAAACCCGTGTCCTAAGTATAGAATATAGACAGGCTCGGGGAGCAGGCGATTCAGCGGAACGACCCGAATTTCTGCTTCCGTGCAATTCCAATTCGCCGGAAAACATATCCTATCATCCTTTTATTGTTATCTCCTAGCTTTTAAGGTTAAGTCGTCGGGTCGGCCTCGGCCAGGCCACCGCTACCGCTGCGGATTTCTTCTCCCGTCGATTGTCTTAACCTTTTTTATGACTCGGCTCGCGCTGTTACATCATGCAGCGAGCACGGCACATCTATGAGTAATGCATCCCCGAGAAATGACGCGGTTTCCGCTGTTAGACGGTCTGGGAAACATGAGTGGTCATAAAATGGGACCGTGGGCGTGGATCATGCTCGTGGCCGTGAACCGTGTCGGCATCCCGAAACACGCAATATGCTCGACAAGATCATTGAGGAAAGCCATTTGGAGGCGACCCGCACTCACTGGGCCGGTCTTGGGCAGGCTGTGCAGGGTGGAGAGGTTGAGATTGATGGCTGTCAATTGACTATCGGCGAGTTGGTGGCTGTATCGAAGTATGTTGACTCTCGATTGAAATGATGCCATCGAGACTGATGATGGAAATAGACACGGTTGCCCAGTTCATCTCACCGACCGGCCCGAGACAATCGACGCCATCAATGATAGTGTAGCGGCTTTGGCAGAGTGCATTCGCGAAGGGTACCACATCTATGGTGAGCTGAGAGCCGAATGGCAAGTGAGATAGAACGCATCGAGACTGATCGATTTGCGCTTCACCAGGAGTCAACACCGGATTCGGGGGCAGTGCAGACTCTCGCACCGGTCATATGGTCACCTTACAAAGCGCACTCTTGCAGCTCCTTCAAAGCGGTATTCTCACAACCGCTGACACTAGCACCGACCGCTCTGGGTCAAACTTGCTAGGGCTGGAGCATCACTCGATGCCTCCAGAATGGGTCAAGGCCACAATGCTTGTCCGTAGTAATACGGTCGCGAGGGGTCATTCCGCAGTCTCCGTGTCTGCCATCAACTCTATTATACGACTGCTGCGTGAGGAAATCACACCGGTCGTCCCCTTACGCGGGACAATTTCCGCCTCTGGGGATCTGATGCCCCTCGCTTACGTGGTGGGCGCCGTTGAAGGTAGCCCTGACGTCTTCGTGCAGGTAGGAGGAAGAGAACATCAAGAAATCATCACTGCACAAAAGGCGTTGAAGAGTATTGGAACGGATGCACTAACACTCGGACCGAAAGAAGCACTTGGGCTGGTCAATGGCACGGCTGCGTCCAGCGCGCTTGCGGGTCTTGTGCTGTACGAGGCGCATCAGCTGGCTTTGCTCGCTCAAGCCGTTACTGGTCTGACAGTCGAAGCCCTGCAAGGGAACGCGGACAGCTTCCACCCTTTCATCGCCGAGGTTCGCCCACAGGGAGGCCAGATCGAAGCGGCGAAAAACATTCTCGCGTTTTTGCGAGGGTCGCAGCTGACTCAAACCGGCGGTAAAACGCACGAGGGCCTGGCACAGGACCGATACTCTCTGCGCACAGCGAGCCAATGGATTGGGCCCCAACTGGAGGATCTGCTTCTGGCAGATCGGCAGGTTGCCATTGAACTCAATTCCACGTCCGATAATCCTCTGATCGATACAGCGGCCAAGACATTCTATTCTGGCGGCAACTTCCAAGCCACATCGGTGACCTCAGCAATGGAAAAGACTCGGCTCGCGTTGCAGATGCTGGGTAAGCTGCTGTTCGTGCAGTCTAGCGAGACCATCGATCCCAGCCTGAACAACGGGCTGCCAACCAATCTCGTCGCCGACGACCCTAGCCTCTCGTTCACGATGAAAGGGGTAGACATTAACATGGCGGCCTACATGTCCGAGCTGGCATACCTGGCGAACCCGGTCAGCTCTCACGTGCAGACGGCAGAAATGCACAACCAGGCCGTAAACTCCCTCGCCTTTCTGTCAGCGCGCTACACAATGCAAGCTGTCGACGTGGTGTCCATGATGGGCGCCTGCTCACTATATGTGGCCTGCCAAGCCTTGGACTTGCGAGTCCTGCAGCTCCAGTTCTTCCAAGACCTGCGACCTTTCATCCACCGCACCACCAAAGATGCGTTTGGGTCGGTCCTTGAGCCGCAAGAGATTGACCGACTGTCCTCACACTTGCTGGACAAGGTCCGCAACTCCTGGACTTCGACCTCGCGCATGGATCTGTGCCAGCGCTGCCAACGGGTTGTCGAGATGACGCTGCCTTTTCTGTTCACGGAGCTGTCGACTCAGATCCCGTCGGTCCGTCAGAGCCATGGCCTGATTGACGGGATCACAGACTGGCAGACGGAGACCTCGATGCAGATAGAGGTCCTGTACCGCGAGACGCTTGCCCGTTCTTTCATTTCCCAGGCCACCGTAGACTATCTTGGGGCCGGATCGAAGGCAATGTACATAGCCATCCGTCGAGACGTCGGGGTTCCCTTCCATCAAGGATTTGCTGAACACCCTCTATTAGGTCTCGATGGAAAGCCTGAGCTGTTGAATGGGCGAGCTAAGAGGACGATTGGGGGCTGGATCTCGATGATTTATGAGGCTTTGCGAGGCGGGAAGTTAACCGAGGCATTGCTGAAATCTTTCGATTAGGGGTAAGGGGCTTTGCGTAGAGGAATGCCCTGAACGACCCTGGCAAAAGCGTTGTTCGAGTTTCGGCTTATTCTCCTTCGCAGCCACACAGGTATAAATCGCCTTCAATGTGTCTAGTGCCGGTAATAATAGGGAGTACTACAAAAGCAAGTCGAGCATGTCCTGGAGTCCACGTTCAAGTAGTCCACAGGGTCATTTTCAGTTCTTGCGAACATAAGCCAAGTCAATAGCTCAGGGCATCAACCCTATGAAGGTTGCCAGAGGAAGAAACTGATAGTCTCACTCGAAGAATCATAAGCGTACAGTCGATGTGCTCCTTCTTCACTCGCGGGTTACTTCATTAGTTCGGCTTTCGATGAACAGGAGGCGCAACATCCGGGGACTTCGCTGGCGGTGCCATCGGACCAGCGAGAGCCGCCGAAGTCGCTCCTCAACAATCCGTATCATCCGGCCAACAGTGGGTCTCTCGTTTCGCTGTTGATGGGCGGACATGTTCTGGTTCCAGAGATTGATCAAAGGCTGTCATCTGCTTCTTCCGAGAGAGGACAACGCGGTCTCTGTAGAGGCCGTGGCCACCGTCCTGCTGCTCAAAACTCTCACCAGGGTAACATTGAGCATCAGATACAGAAAGAGGTTGTATGGAAATGTTTTGTACCTGGCAGTAGTGAGTCTTTCGGGAGAAGAAAAGGTTTGTCAGGCTTTTAGGCAGCTGGAGGATATGGTCGGGTTCACTGGTTTGTCTTGAAGACTAGTTGCTAATGTCCCGATTCGCTTTCATATCGCGCAATGGATTGAGCTCTTTATTTGAAGTTCTCTGATCTCTGATAAACGCATCCTTACTCTGAATCCTGCCTTTTATTTCGTACTTCATGTCCACTCGCGTTAGGAGGGCGTGCTTGTAGGAATTAGAAGGGAATCATGCACGTGCCAATGGGCAGGGTTCGTTCAACATAATATGTTAAAATTGATTAATTGGCTCACAAACACACTGAAGTAAACAAACATGAAATCCAAAAGAAGAAGAGGAAAAAAGAATGCCCATCGTGTCGGAGGAATTAATGATGCCCCTTCCACATGATGAGCTTACGGGCCGGGAGGGCCTCCGGGGCCTCCCCCACCACCGCAGCAGTCGCAACAGTCGCAGCAGCAGTCGCAGCATGAGAAGCACTCGAAACAGCTGACACCAGCACAACTACTTTTATCAGTGGGACCTCATAGCGTATCACCAAGAGTCAAATACTCACAGTCCACAGCAGACGTCTTCTCCCTCACCACCACCTCGCAGTTGAAGCATGGGCTCGCCAATACGCTGATTATGTTAGCCAATCTTTCAGTCCGGAAGTAAAGACCCTCTTACTGGTTGTTCAGTGACAACGCTCTGACCTGGAGGGACACCCATTCTACGCGGCTCTTGCATTTCGAGGCTTCCGGGGTTCCAGGTGCTCTCCGCAACAGGTGCCTCACGAGTAGGCCGCAGCCAGGCAAACGGATTGGAGTTGAACATGATGGGTACGTACTGAGATATGATGCTGGAGAGAGAAATGCGACCCAGAGGAAGAAACGACAGGCTAAATATAAGCATTGGGTAGAACAGCTTGGCTTCGGCCAATGGGTCCATAGGGCTGTAAGGCTGGCCAGGCTTCGGCGCTGATTGGCGGACGCTTCGCTTCCCCCACCTCAAACCCATCCATGCATGATATCATGGCGCCCATTTTCCGGTTCCTGGCTCTGATATCATGCCATTTGGTCATTTTACCTGTCTGGTCAGCCTGTTGGAAGTATACTCGCCCTGAGAGATGACGCGACAGCTGAGGAAAAGTCGCTGCCTACGAGAATTTATGGTCTCAGTTGAGTTTGGAGCGAACCTATAGAAGCACCCGCCATAGTAGACACGGATGACAGCTACCTCGAACATTACTGACTCGATAATAGTCCTTTTGCGATCTCGAATGTTCTTATAGTAAGTAACTGCCTTGGGAAGTCAAAAGATCAGAAAAAATGTGGTTAGTCAGCGGCAGAGGTGGTGCCTCAGACATTATTAACTCTCCTTCCAATCCTCTTTTTCTGTCTTCTTTGACCCAGTAAACCGAGGCAGTGCCCTCCATTCCCATCTGGCCTGCGCTATTTCCAAGGCCTATAGCAATCATGATCTCCTACACACCGCGAGGTCGATTGCATTCAAAAAGCTGGCGCAGCCTGAATTGCCCCTCAGGGTGTTCGCAAAGCAGGGTTGGGCAGATCTCTGGATCTATCATTCAGTCTTCACAAGCAAAATAACCATATGTCACACTACAAGCATGATTCTGTCACATACGACCACAGGGTGTGGAAAACAGGGCTTCCCGTCCGCTCAGCCGTACTTAAGCCACACGCCGGGAGGTTAGTAGTTGGGTGGGTGACCACCAGCGAATCCCTTCTGTTGTATGTTTTTTGCTCTGCCTAAGTTTCCCTTGGGTAGAAAGAAAGTCCCAAGCAGAAGAGAGCTGGGAATCCAGCATGGTCAAGCGCACTTTGAAGTATGGAAAGCTGCAGGTCGGTCCTGCCGCGGTGCGAAGAGCTTGACATGCGCCGAGCACCCCGACAGATACTAGGGCGCAGGCATTCTCTTTTGTCATGTCATCGGCGCAACTGCCTTACTTCCCTTCCCAACTTCACCATCTTTCCTTTGAACACTCAATTGTGCAGGGAATAGAACAGTCCAGATCCTAAGCTGGCCCTTTCGCGAACTTTGTGCCTATGTGGCAATACCGCCGGCAGCCGTGCCTATTACCACACACTCTCTATGATTGGTCTGTGTAGCCTTCCGCACACAGGAAAGCCCGGCATTCTTTGTCAATACAACTCACTCACCTACACTACATCTTCGTATCCCACGACTTCCTTGCTTGGGACAGGGAATAGCTCAGTCGATAAATACATCGGTCCGCGAGGATTTATTCTGAAATTGAGCACAGAATGTTTCTGCAACCCCTCCTACAAACGAATCATTTTGACCGACAGATGATATATATACTCCCATCAGCTGAGTAGGATTGCTTATGCTTTCAATGAAAAGAAAAGAAAAAATAAAATATAACAGAACAAAACAAGCTTAAGAGGTAAAAAAATAAATCTTGGCTTTTGCCTGCTGTATAGAGTCCCTACCCAGAAAGACACCGTGCAGTCGCTATCTCGTTGTCCGTAGACCGCAGTTGAAATCAGACAGCGACCAGGTTTCGCCTGGATCAAGACTTCAAGCTTCCATTTCCGATTCATCATCCCACCAGGAAAGAGGTATCCGCAGAGTCAGGATACGGTGCATGGCGTCCAGGGTCTGGAGGACCATCGGATCATCAAGATCGTATATCGTCTCGCGTATCGTCACCCACGCCTTGTGCCCCCAGCTGTACTGCCGGAGCTCGATCTGGTCGCCATTGATCACGGCTCCGAAGATCCATGGCCGGGTCTCTGGGCCCACGGCGTTCTTGGGCTTTCCCGCATACAGGCGGAAGGCCTCATTGAGTCTCTCCCAGGTAGGAAGATCATTGTCATCACCTTGGATGGCGACAAAAGGAGCGTAGTTCCGCCCTGGATGAGTGACGGTGTACACGCTATACGCGTTCAAGTCGCCGAATTCAGCCCGTATCTTAGAGATATAGAAGTCATTCTCTGGAGGAAAGTTAGCTCGGATTTTGTCCTCAAAGGAGTCCATGGTCGCGGCTGTTAGTTGCGACTTTGAAATATAGAGCATTATGATACTTCGAAGATCGGGAGAGCTTGGAAGGTTATTTATAACCTTCTTACAGTGCAGCCTTCTCCTGATTAGAGTTTGGATTCATTTTCATGCTTTATATTATGCTTCACATTTCTTTATTATTAATGTCCTACCGGTTCATTATCAAGGATATAATAGCGAGAAAGAATCCATTATCTAGCATATAAAATTAGTGCGAAGAACAAAGAGGATACCGAAGGTAGTCATACTCTAGAACAAGAGGCCGAGAGTGTAATTTGTAAGCTGCTCATCATCCGGGTCATCGCAATCATGCCAAAGATCCTTGAGGCATCCCAAAGCCGTAGACACTGAAGGCAACCATTCTCAGGCTAAATATACAGCTATTCCCGGATTAAGTTCATTGTCTACACCTGCACACCGATAGTCAGAGATGGCGATTGCATAACTAGATTCTAGAGACCGCTTGGTAGTAGGTAGCCCGGGCATTCCTGCCGACTGATGGGGTAACGAGACTCGTCTATTCCAATGCATGAGCCTGGCGCCTCTATCAGAAAGATCTTGTGGAGGCGTATTAGGATCAAGCAGGCTGTGTAAAGCTGTACCAGGCGATGGAGGGAATGCACAAGGCTAGGAGACAGTACAGGCCTTGCTTGCATGGTTCAAGGTTTAATGGGAAAATAGGATTTCAACTGGAGAAATTGCCACTCTGCAAAATATGAAGTCTTTGAATATTGTTCAAAGCACATACGACCATAGGGTGTGGATAACAGGGCTTCCCGTCCGCTCAGCCGTACTTAAGCCACACGCCGGGAGGTTAGTAGTTGGGTGGGTGACCACCAGCGAATCCCTTCTGTTGTATG